TAACGACTCATTACCATAAAACGACTTGCTTGAGAATGATTTTTCAATGTCATCATGTGTAGCTGATGAGACTTCATAATCACTGAATATTATTGATAAAATTGAAGAAACTATTAAAACGCACTAGGTCGCTAGATTGGCCGATAACCATTATTAAACAGTATTGCTTTACCGTAGTTATCTCCAAATAAGATAGATGTGTGTGTATGATTTTACCTCACACGACTTTATTTAACAGCTTGGAATCTCGTTTTTCAAATCAGGGGTGTTGAGAAACAGTCATTCTTGTAAATTATCAATGTAGGCAGTCAATTAGATGTCCTGTAAACTGAAAACATCATTGTCAAGCTCATACTAACACCGATGATGCTCATATCATTATCATAAAAATGAGTTGTACTACCCTTGGTCATAATCTACGCTCTCCCTGATAGTGACATGGGCACTCATTATTTGTCATTTTTTAAAGACCCATTTGGTTGAAAATGCACAAAGTCGCATATATTTGTGCATGATTATAGTTATTCAATTTAAAGGACATCAAAACATTGAGTCTAGAGAATGTCTAACGCGGATGCACTCATTTATAAAGAATTAATGTAAGTCAATTGTCCAAGATGCATGCAATTATTAGTATTTAAATGTATTAAAAGAGGTTTTGGTGACAACGCATATGTGTTAATAGCATCACCAAACACTATCATAGTTAGGCCATAACGATGTTGAGAAAATCTTCCCGTAACTAGGTACACTATATTAAACTTATGTAACTAACCGGGACATTAGCTAGAATTCTTCCTCTCCGCAGCTATTTTTCTAAATGTAGTTACAGATCGACATGTAAGAGCAACATAACAGTATAAACAATAACAGGCTTTCTGATTTCAATAAAGGATATTCCTATTACCAACACTACTATGACACGATTTATTTTTCTTTATAATTAATAATAATATAAGTACAAATACTTTTACTGTTCATACGTCAGGCCGTTAATCACCAGTTATTCTGACGTTTTAGTGTAATTCACCGAAATATCTCTTTGCTTAATCATTCTGCGCTATCTTGATTCCTATTTTCTCAACTCTCAAATGATGTGTGTTGAGAATGAAACCAAACATCATGAAATTTCTATATGTATTTTCCAACTATTTACTGCTGCTTTCCTTTTTATTTATCTTTAAGTTTATTAGCATCCGGAGGATTTTTATCCCCAGCGCGTTATAACCCCACATGTTTTGGCATCGGACTAACACCACATGATATTTTGAACCCAAATACACGATAACTGCGAAGATTTACATCCACCTTTTAAAACGTGGAGAGGATCAAAGAAATGGCGAACATGGAAATACTTCATCAGTTGAACATGCCTCAACTGTACAGGCGTGGTCACTCTATGTAACTTCATTCCTTTCCTATAGGTATAATAATCTATCTCCGGCCCGATTTCTGTTTCCAGAAGTTCTAAACAGCACAGTTCTGACTGTCATGTAGTACGAGTCAGTATAGATAATGGTGTGACTTGTACGCAAGGTCTCCTATGTCAGGTAGGCACACTATGGGAAATCTACAGTTTTGAGATTAGGTGCGTTATTCGGTAACAAATGCACATATTGCCGATCTAGACAACACTCCTACACTGATGTGGTCAACAAAAAAAGGAAGCCTGTTATTAAGTCCCATCTTCAACTTTATCGACTGATCATTATTTTAGTCAACGCTACGAATTTGAATTCATTTATTTTTGATCTTATATCAAATCAATATATAACGCTATTCAAATCCAAAAACTAACTCGATAATACATCTAATTTAATCCTGTTTCTTTCGGATTTATATCACATTATGGCAAAGTTAACTCAGGTGGCTTCCATTCATATTAGAGTATGACTACTAATTACTTCATAAGACGCTGATGCACACTTTGAATTTATGAATTATTTGACCATGTGCAGCGTTCAGCTTATATTATTATTATTTTGTAAACATTATAAATAAAAAGTGCGTGAATAGAGAAATATAAAATCATAATATATTTTTGCAAGGGCAGGTACACGAAAAGTTTACAGGCGTGATCTACAAACTACAACATTTATTGGGTCATAGTACGCATACCAAGCACGGTTGTTAAAGAAATATAATCTATAAAAGTGAATATCAGTTCATTTGTTCATATATACTGAGTAGTCTTCAAAATATTTCCCAAAGTGGCGTCGAGTCCACGTTACACACCAGATGCAATCTCGGCATAATTGTGTTAGGATTTATACTATATGAACAAATCAATCAGAGGGGCATGAGAAAATTCTGCACTGTTACGCAGAACGTATTCATATTTTATTAGTTACCTGTTCTTTGCCTATTACTTCAAAAGGTTCAAATGGTTATGGAGGGAATAGAAGAAGCTTTCGCTTAACAGGCTTCCGTGTCTAGTAGCAGGGGATCACGAAATCCTCTAGGCAGGAACCTAGGTATGTTAACAATAAAACAGGAAAAGAAATTGGTAAATCATAGTGTGATGCTGTCCTTGGTCCTTAAGAATAGGTCAAGTTGCCTCTTGAAGGACTCCTGAGAAGTCGCTTGGACTAGCTCGGCCGGCAGCGAGTTCCAGCTTTTGACAACTCTTAAGGAGTAGAAGTTGTGTCTACATTCCGTCTTGCTATGTTGTGTTTCCAGTTTCTGGGTGTTACCCCTTAGGTTATTATTCGAACTAAGCTTAAGTAGGTGTTTAAGAGGATGTCCAGAAGTGGTAAGAATACTATAAGCCGGTAATAAATCACCTCTAAGACGTCTATACTCTAATGGGTAAAGGTCTAGTGAATGGAGGCGTTCTCCGTAAGGTTTAGATTTGAGTCCTCGAACTGATTTTGTGACTCGCCGTTGGATACGCTCAAATGAAAAAATTCGCTATTTTGATGGCAGCTCCGTTAGAGTGTTCGACAACAGAATTAGACGTTTTTGTATTTGTCAACGACAATGCCGTCGTTTCAAATGAAATTTAAAATCAAGATGTTGATACTATCCCTGTAGATACATTCACTAGAAAGTAGACATCCAGACTAAACTTACACAAAATCGTAAAAGTCTCCGTGTTTGCCCAAAAATATAACATGGCTTCTGTAACGTGTCACAAACACTGTCATTGAGTACAAAAATGGACAAACGCGGTGTGCGATACACACAGTTTACGCAAATACGAAACTCATTTGTGTAACCAAATGAGTCGAATTTAGCGCGGTAATAAAATTTGTATATCAAGTGGTTCTCATCCCCAATAGGCATAAAATGGGGTAAACGGAAGCAATGAACACAAATTTATAACACGAAATCTATTTTTGGTTTCAACACTTTAAAATAATTGTCTAAGTAGCAAGGAAGCAATATAGGGTCGGTGGAAATAGGTATCCACAGCCTACTTACAACAAACTTTCTACAGGATTTTTTGCCATTATACCAAGACTTTGAGATTCAACATTTAAATTTCGCTGTAGTAGAAATAGACATTATTAGCAAGGCGAAAGTAAAAAAAAGAATGAAAAAAGCAGCTCGTCCTTTTTTAATGAAAGGTAGAGATATTTTGAAAGTTAATGGGATTATTCATGATCAAAGAGATGAGAATTTCTGAATTTCCGCATAAAGCATGACTGGAGTGTTTTCAACTAGGACCACATCATTTGAGAGGTTTCTTTAACTTCATCCCAATGATATATTAAATATCGGATGTCGGTGTAAGCGTTATATTCAAAAAGTTCCGTTACAGGCGTTACGTACGTATTGTGTATCAACTCTCATGTATTTTGCTTTATGTGATTGGCATACTCCTGAATAGATCTCATAAGATGACACCTATTACTTTGATTACTTTTTAATCTACATTAGCTATGTGTTAGTTAATCACTACTATCAGTTCCAGCTACCAAAATATTAGCTATCGTTTAACTTTCTTTTAACCGGCTTGTTTGAATTATCATGAACTCTCAATCAATAAGTAAACCCGAAGAAATTGACCCTTAGTCTTCGTTTTTCCGTTACTTCAGGTGACACTACAAGGCTCACACTTCTGTAATCGTGTAAAGACGAATCTACCCCAAAAATTTCATTTGTATGGTTTAGTAGGTTCACTAGCTCTTATTAAAATAGTTTTGTTGAGAACTCAGTACACAAATCTGTATTGGTCAGCTAAGTTGCATTGAATTACGATTAGTCACTGAAGTACGATGCGTCTATAGATTATTCACGGGGCAGATTACGTGTTAGTTAGTCACTGAAACCAATATTATTATATATGCTTGGTGTTTACATTATCCTAAAAGGGATGAGGATTCCCGGCTAATAAACGTGATATTCTTCCTGACCCAGCCTTTCTGTATTCAAATTGATCCGGAAATTAAAGTTGTGTGTATGTTTTCAGCTTTCTGGTGAACGTTTGAAAACCTCAAAATCGAAAAGTCACACTAGTAAAATTTCTGAGGTACAATAATAATAGTACTTAACTTAAGTAGTGAAAAGAAAAAGGTGATTATTTATTAGTTTCAAATCAATTACTGGTTCTGTATGGTGTGCTATGTAGTCACCGATTGATAAGCCTGTGTGAAAACCAAGAATCCAGACCGTTTAGATGTAGTGGGACAACTCGCTTCCCCCAATTATGGCCCAAATAATGTGATTATTCTCGATAGGAAAAATAAAGTTAATGCTGTGCGAAATAGGGTCATTTCTGGCAAGTCTCAGAAAAATAATTTTGGGTGACAATGTCATACTTTTATGAACATTTAGCTTCACTAATATATGTAGTAGTAAGCCAATAAAAATTATTTTATGCACGGTACTGATCACATATATTACATCCAAGGTCGTTTCAAGCTAGTGCTTTTGAGAGGCCATCAGATATTACCTTGACGCCTATGAAAACTAATTGGCGACATATTCTAAATACTACTATGATCCTTTGAATATCCAATCTATCAATTGGTCAAATTGTTAATAATTTGTTATAGATTTTACATTTTCCGGGGTAAAGCTCAAACGAATCAATTTGGAGTCCATAAAAAGTCTTTTACCTAAACTACTGAACTCCATCAATACATAAGTAATAAAAAAGAATTCAGTTGTGCCTGAAGGTCGTTTACAACCGTAATAAATTTTCTGCAAAGAATATCATCAACTATCCGCCTGTTTAAACAAGTGTTGGCAATGACACCGTGTATTTCGTTTAATGAAAGCAGCGTTTTCAGCTTTCTGTCTAAAAAATGGGCTTTCGATTTCAGCTCGAAGTATGTATATGTATATATATATTGACAAATAATTTCATATTCAGAACACGTATTACTGCTCCAAACCAAACCAATACTCCCGAACTGAAGCATCCCCCAGGATATGTTGATCGTTCTTTCCCAGCCACTGCCGTCCGTGACTCGGACCCACATCTGATGCGTCAGCGAAGTTGGAACATTGCATTGGGTCCGTTCCGGCAAGTTCCAATGAATCTGTTCATCATGTGGATTTCAGGCAGTTCAATATCGATATTTCCCCTGATGTCTGTAATTATGTTATTTTTACGCCCATTACAAGCTCTTTTGTCTGCACAAGCTAGTAAGGTTTCCATCACAGTTTCTTAATCATATTTTTGATACAATCTTAGTAGTTTATTTGATGAGTAGCAAAGAAAGAACTTGTGATACCGTTTGTTTTATAAAATTTCGAACTTTAGCGATGCGTATCTTCCATTACTTGAAGATACGACCAATAAAATAACTATGATCATATCTAGTCCCTAAAAATACCACCTTAGACCATAGCAAGCGGAACCCTTGTATTTGAATGCATATTTTAACCATATTCTGAGTACGTTAAAACGTTTTCAAGCCATATAAGGTTCTTGTAGCTAAGTGGTCAACAAACTCAGATTTCATCCAATTGGTCACAAGTCCAAAACCCGTCCTACTCTATTATTTAACCAGTGATTATCATTACAGGTTATTTTATTATACGGAATTTCCTAATTCTGTTGACATATTCAGAGTGGTACATTGTGACATAATTCACTTGGCAAATACAGGTTTGTGCATCACTAAACAAAGAAAACTATTTAAATGGGCGTGATAATACCTGGTCGTTAACCTATAATGAAACAGTATCCGAACTTGTAACCTACTGGCTGAAATTTGAGAGATTCGACCAATAAACTGCTCCACCGACAGAACGCTTTTATCTATGGATGTAAATATATGAAAGAAAAATATCCTCAACAATTTCTCATCAGCCTCTACAGTTATACATTAAAACCAATGTTTTGAAAAAAATCAACTGATTCACCGTCATTCCCTGATACCGTGCGTCTAACCCCACTATTACTTACCCGGTGATCCCAGCAGATGCTGACAATATTTCTAAGGCATCTGTGATCAAACACTAGTAACCTACAAGTATCTTCTACTCTTGATGACCACGTTTCACAGCCATAAAGTAAAACAGAACGAACTGCTGAGCAGCATACTCGTGCCTTAATTGATAGACGGATATATCGCCTAAGCCGTAGGTGATGTAAGTTGGCAAAAGCCAAATGAGCTTTTTGAATATGTGCTGAGATTTCGTCCGATACCAGCCCATTAGGGTTGATCAGACTTCCAAGATAAGTGAAGTTGCCAACGCGTTCGACTACTTCACTCCCTATCCTTAGTTCAGGTGTTGACGCAGACCAGTCCTGAAGAAACAACTTGCATTTAGAGGGAGAGGAACGCATCCCAGATATCCTGACATTGCTGTTCAGTGTACCAAAATATGGCATTTTATCAGCGTCTTCATCAAATAAGACTATCATCTGCGTATTCTAAGTCGATGGGTGGACCTCGTAATAGGAGACTAATCCCCAAAAATTCAGTCGACGAGAAAGTTATTTCCGTCAGGAAGTTTATGGTGGGATTGAACAAAAATCGAGATAATGGACAGCCTTGCCGGATACCACTTGAAGGTGCAAAATCAGATGACAGTTCGCCATAATCTCTGACTAGACTGGTGGTGTTTGAGTGAAGAGCCCCCACTAGGCTTATGTACTCCTGCGGTACACTTTCAATGACAGACACTGCCACAGAACCTCTCGGTCTACAAAGTCAAATGCTGCGTCTCAGACAAGTAAGGTCATCATTGTCGGACGCCTGTGTTCTAGAAGTTGACGAGTGGTGAATATGTGGTAAACGGAGTAGCAATGGGATCCTTTTGTTCCTAAATGTAGCCAACTTGTTTATGTTACATATAGAATGAAGTATTTTGGCTAGTGACATGAAACCACGAATTCGGTTCAGATATGTAGATGTACAAACATGCTTCACATAAATCACCTTGACTGGAATAATATTTCATTGAATTGTTCAGACATGTTTTTGATTTATCGCACCAAATATTGTTGCTTTGTACTTTTTGAACGGGTTAACGTGTTTATTTGTTATCTGAAGAAGTGGCTTGCACTAAGTCACGAAACGTCAGAAAATTTAGACTTGATTTTTCTACTCATTCGGACATAACAAATATATTTCTTCTTACTAATTAACCTCCCAGCATGATTTATCAAGGGGGTACTTAAAGCAGTCAGTATACCTATCCTGTGACATTTAGTTCAAAAGTGTTACGCAGCTTGCACCACTCAATAGCTTACAGTAAATTACCATGTCGATGGCAATCTATCTAGATTTATCAGAATCCGTCCTCTAAACGATGGAAGCAACAGCTACTTGGGTTAAAAAACTGAAACTTCGCGTCCGAAAAATGTCCAACCTTTTCCTACACCTTGACCAAAGCAGACCCAACAAGTCAGTAATCGACGTAATTACAGATTCACCTTTATTGCTTAGTATATATGATAGTCTTTTGAACACAATTTGATCAACACTGTACTATTTCTTATGCAACTCATCTAACTCTGTACATTACGCAATTTCCAACGAAACATTTGTATGAGATCATGAACCGTTTAATGTTAGACCACCATTGAAAGCCTGGAAGCACTGGACGGCCGTTTTGTCCTACTGCGGGACTCCTCAGCAGTGTGTATTCACGATCCCGCTCGCGCGATTCGAACCCAGGGCCTTCCGTCTCGCGCGCGAACGCTTAACCTACTGGACCACTGAGCCGGCATCCAATGGTGTTAATGGTTCATAATCTCAATCAAAACTTAACAATCTTCACAACCTCTATACTGAAACATTTGTAATTATACTACTGTTTACATCACCCAATGTTATCTAAATTCATTCTGATTGTTGACCTCATAATTTCACTTGACCTATGAACTGATTCAAGTTAAAATCACACGCTAGTCATTTCTTTTTAAAAAAAGTTATTTTGTTTTACTAACAATCTCAAATTAATGTGCTACAACGATGTATTTACATTAAATTTAATCATTTCTTCAAAACATTGATTTTAATGTATAACTGTAGAGGCTGATGATCTATTTGAAAAAGTACTCTTCATCCATGTTTCTCTGTTTGCAATTTGACTAAAATTTGTAAATGGTACGTAAATATGTATATAACTAAGTTCTAAGTGCACAAATAAAGCTGAAATAATTGAAATTTTTGCTGAGGTGGATATTATTGAGTTACCCAACCCAAAATGGTTTTATTACGGAGTTTGCATTTTTGTTCTGTACATCACCAGCTGCTACTTGATGGATTCAAAATGAAGTCAATGTTGATACTGTCCAGTACAAAAACTAAGGCTCCGCAATATATATTACTCTACGCAAAAAATATAAGCGCTCATATAAAATAGTCTGTGAAATTCCTTAGTGGATGTTTTCAAGAAGTGAGCTTTATAATATCCTATTCGTATTGTGTGTATCGTGAAACAGTAAGAGCAAAATATCAATGACATTTTAGAGTGACTGGCTATTGCATGCTTTCGTTTCATCCCGACTTCGTCTCGTATAGGTTCCATTCCTTTGTGGGTGATTTCCCCTTAAGCATTTACATTTGATCACTTGCAATATTGAAAAGAAGGCGGATTCATTGTAAGTGTGAAGGCCTGTAAGTAGCTTGTATGTGTTGATAATCAGACACTGAGATGTAGGTCACTTACATCTTCGTTATGTGAGAAAACCGGTTAAAATACCATTAAGCAATTCAGAGTTTTACCTACAATCGGTGATATCAACTACCCTTTATTTACGAACGCTCACACTAGGGTTTTGATGGTCTCAAAATGACCCTATTAACAACCTAAATCTGGTATGTCTGTTCAGGGATTTAAATATATAGTCTCTAAATGCAACACTTCGACTAATTGGATGGAGATAAAGTATATCAGCAGGTTTTCAGTACTGTGAAATATGCAATTATACTCGTGATAGATCAGTCATTCATTAATGTTTACTCATTAACTTTAAGGTTAAATTTTAATAATATAATTTCCGAAGACAACTGTTTCACCTAATTAAGATCAGGTTTTGATTTAAAGTTTACGAAAACCATAACACCCTAATTTTTCATAATGCTAGACAGATTCCTATCCCTTGGGGTAGATTTGGAAGTTGTTTCGTAGTGATAACTTTGATCCAGAAAGGCAGTCAATTAATTTAGGTCTACTGGATGTATGTTTATCCCTTACTAAGGTTTATCAACAGTTGTAAACTTGAGTAATTCGAGATTTTCTTGATTTTTTCTGTACAGCATTTAACCTTATCGAGGGAAGTCAAGCTACAATACAATGCTTTGTGTATGTACTTGGCAACCTAGTTATACTAGCACTAGCCATGTACAAGTGCCACACTATGGGTTTACTACCGACTTACGCATCTGATTGGCTTTCATTTATAGAACCACGTCAAGTAAGTAAATAGTATCTACTATGAGTACGTACTTTATTCAGAGATTGTTAAAAATATATTCAATTCATTTATGTAGACCCAAATTTGCAGCAACCTGATCGCGTCCATAAAATGACTGGTATTCGATATCAACGTCTGTAATATTAGCTATTGTTATCATAACAATCTAATGGATACCGTGTAGCGAAGGACCGAGGTGACTGACCGAAGCTGCTACCTTGACGCGGTAGTCGAGCTTGCTTATCGTGATGACCCAAACGAGCTATATTGGCTGGAACATATGTTCCTGTAGGTTCTACCATGCCAGGCAGGTCGATTGGTGAACGTTAAGACTAAAAGCAGCAACTCAAGGTCTGAGGGCGAAGTCGTACTGCTGACTGCAGAGAGATGTGACAGCAATAAGGTGTTTCCCTCGGACAACCAGCATGACAGCGATGCTGCCTTCCCACAGGGAGGAGTGGGGTTAGAAAAGGTCGACCCTAAAAAATGTCACACCTCACCTTACCTCACGGATTTCCGTCTCCGGCGGTAAGGCCCTTTAAAGAACGGAGCTAAGAAATTAAAAACCTTCCACAATAAGGCCGTGCGCGACCGACCTCAAGCAGTTGTCCCTTGGGCTCTGCGGTCACGCTCCCAGGTCGTCAAGACCAACACTAATCCAATTTCTTTTTCAGGTTCCTCAAGACATACCCTTCCATGGTGTGGGCAGCCGGGAAGTGACATCAGCCCTCACACCCGTAACAGCACACGAGACCATGTTGGTGACTGACTGTGTGATGTATTAGGTTTAAGTCTAAAGCGGAAGGACGTCTAACTGATAATTATTTTATAGAACTTTAGTTATGCCTTGGAGTCCATCAAAAATAGATGGTCATAGTAGGCAAGTTACGAATATACTAAATATTCATAACTTTAGTCAGACTGGAGTCGGAGTATTTAAATAATTATTAAGCACAATGAAAAGATTCGCTATTTTGATGGCAGCTCCGTTAGAGTGTTCGACAACAGAATTAGACGTTTTTGTATTTGTCAACGACAATGCCGCCGTTTCAAATGAAATTTAAAATCAAGATGTTGATACTATCCCTGTAGATACATTCACTAGAAAGTAGACATCCAGACTAAACTTACACAAAATCGTAAAAGTCTCCGTGTTTGCCCAAAAATATAACATGGCTTCTGTAACGTGTCACAAACACTGTCATTGAGTACAAAAATGGACAAACGCGGTGTGCGATACACACAGTTTACGCAAATACGAAACTCATTTGTGTAACCAAATGAGTCGAATTTAGCGCGGTAATAAAATTTGTATATCAAGTGGTTCTCATCCCCAATAGGCATAAAATGGGGTAAACGGAAGCAATGAACACAAATTTATAACACGAAATCTATTTTTGGTTTCAACACTTTAAAATAATTGTCTAAGTAGCAAGGAAGCAATATAGGGTCGGTGGAAATAGGTATCCACAGCCTACTTACAACAAACTTTCTACAGGATTTTTTGCCATTATACCAAGACTTTGAGATTCAACATTTAAATTTCGCTGTAGTAGAAATAGACATTATTAGCAAGGCGAAAGTAAAAAAAAGAATGAAAAAAGCAGCTCGTCCTTTTTTAATGAAAGGTAGAGATATTTTGAAAGTTAATGGGATTATTCATGATCAAAGAGATGAGAATTTCTGAATTTCCGCATAAAGCATGACTGGAGTGTTTTCAACTAGGACCACATCATTTGAGAGGTTTCTTTAACTTCATCCCAATGATATATTAAATATCGGATGTCGGTGTAAGCGTTATATTCAAAAAGTTCCGTTACAGGCGTTACGTACGTATTGTGTATCAACTCTCATGTATTTTGCTTTATGTGATTGGCATACTCCTGAATAGATCTCATAAGATGACACCTATTACTTTGATTACTTTTTAATCTACATTAGCTATGTGTTAGTTAATCACTACTATCAGTTCCAGCTACCAAAATATTAGCTATCGTTTAACTTTCTTTTAACCGGCTTGTTTGAATTATCATGAACTCTCAATCAATAAGTAAACCCGAAGAAATTGACCCTTAGTCTTCGTTTTTCCGTTACTTCAGGTGACACTACAAGGCTCACACTTCTGTAATCGTGTAAAGACGAATCTACCCCAAAAATTTCATTTGTATGGTTTAGTAGGTTCACTAGCTCTTATTAAAATAGTTTTGTTGAGAACCCAGTACACAAATCTGTATTGGTCAGCTAAGTTGCATTGAATTACGATTAGTCACTGAAGTACGATGCGTCTATAGATTATTCACGGGGCAGATTACGTGTTAGTTAGTCACTGAAAACAATATTATTATATATGCTTGGTGTTTACATTATCCTAAAAGGGATGAGGATTCCCGGCTAATAAACGTGATATTCTTCCTGACCCAGCCTTTCTGTATTCAAATTGATCCGGCCATTAAAGTTGTGGATATTTCCAGCTTGTTGAAATTACTATTGGAAATTTGACTGTAGAAATGTTATGGAAGTAAAGAAATTTCTCGCAGTTATGTTCCTCGAGCTGCTTTTGGTTTTCGTTTTGTGTAGGACAATATTTACTGTGAGGATTGATGTAACATGAAGAAAACATAATGTAAACGGATTGTTATCCAAGTCTCCACAATACTCATCTAAGGTTTTCTATGACGTCACATATTAAAGCGTTTGACCAGCAAGAGGTCGTACCTGGGGTTGATCGCCGAAATCACCTAGGAAGTTAATGTGACTAAGTACTTGAACAAGTGCTAGTGTGGCAATTATATGCTTACTTGCCCATACTACAGTATTCTAATCTTCTAATTATAATACGTATTTGAAGGAACGGACTTGTGAAATTCTACTGGAGTAATTATGTATTTAGCTCAAAAGTATACAATTTTTGTTGGGTGTACATACATACGCATTGTAATCCTATTGCTTTGTTCATACATGTTAAAGTACATTTGTAGTGTATATTTAATAAAAGTTTTTTTCTTTAATAGGCAGCTGAGTGGTCGGTTGGAGGTTTTGTCGTTTGAATATAGGACGAAACACCGTATAAAATTTCTAAACGTAATTCGAAAAATAAAATGTTCAGTTTATAACGACTGTTTTTGTTTGACAAGAATCAGAGGTTAAACGAAGCGTCTTTTATGGGATTGTATTAAATTAGCCATTAGAATAGTAGATGAAGCTTCAATAAGTATATTAAATGATTAATTTTTAAACTGACTCATACAGAAGATGTGTCGTTGATTCAAAATATTACCACATACAGAGTAAATACATCCGTAATGTCCATCAAAGTGAGTTCATGAGTTGAGAAGCCCAATCACGCAAAGCTTGAACGCCATCATTCGAAAATGATTGTAAGAGCTGACGAAGTGAATCCTTACAAAGGTTCATGAAACCTTAAAACCAAAAAACGGTGAAATATGCACTTAAAAAACTATTGTTGAGCCAGTTATTTGTTTTGGAAAGATGAATAAATATATGTCGAACTTTAAGATACGGGTAAGAAATTTGATCTACCTAGTTATGGTGTGTTTAATGACAAAAAGTATTAGTATTCATGTGAAAAATACCCTCATAACAATTTTTCCACTCAAATTCATTACACATATATGCATTACAAATTTTATGCCAAACTAAACATGGTTGCAGCGTAATGCACATGTTATTAAAGCACATTATTTCATGAATACGTCAACGTTGTGGTATGACCTACAGACACAAGCTTTCTATGCCAAGTGATAACAATGTAAACTAGTGGATTTTTTTTAAGGATGTGAGACTTGCAGTCTTTAGGTTCCACATTTGAACCACGCTTTATCTATTTCGAGCAGAAGCATTGGCCCTCGGATTTGTGACTAATACTTAAATACCCAATGAATGAATTAGTTACTTATTAATATTACTTCCAGAAAATTACCAACCATAACCTTAAAATGTTTTATTTGTCCTAAAAAGACAATGGAAACCTAATAGACCATTTACTATAATAATGTTAAATCAAAAGTCTTGAAACATGGTTTGAATGCTCATGATCGAGAAACTCAGAATAACCGTCAAAAAGATTGCTTACTTGGATGTCGTAGAATTCCTGCGACTGTCCTCAGAGCATGTTCTCTGAGTAACTGGGATTTTTGGTTTTCGGCTGATTTTTTTAGTTTGCCAATGAACTCTTTCAATCCTAACTCTGAGAAACACCTTGAAGCTGATTTGCCGGCACAATCGACTATATGCGCACTTTGTTCTGGACTCAGCCTATCATTAAATTATAAAATTCATAAAAAGGATAATTGTTTATTTGCATTTTGAAAAATAGATTGTAATAGTTTGGTAAACAATAAAAATGCTTACTTCGCAAGTATTGTTAATGCACTTGCCAAGCAAGAGATTTGAACATGTTTCCCAGTTTGGGTCATAACATTGTTCAATAGGATTATTGTCTCAGCGAAACGATGCACTGAAATGATATACAATTAAAAAGGAAAAATTGAATAAATTGGTATTTGAAATAACAAGGAAAATTGGAATGACTTATCCTGTAGAAACACTTCATGATTTAATGAAAGTTATAGCTGATGTGAGAAAAAACTAGCAAATTGAAAAAGTGTATGAATAGTATCACATATTGGATCGCCCCGAGAATGAAAGTGTTATGGTCTGCTAATCCATTTGGATTTTACCGCGAGGGTTCGAACCCCATCCCCGTCGCCAGTTGTTATATCTACCACAAACAACTTGAGCACTCGAACGCTTGAACCCTCCAACTCGCAAATAAGGAGACTGGAGAAAGTGTTTGTTGGGTAAGAATCAAAATGTACAGAAAGTCATAGATATTCAACCAATATCCGCTGAGGCATGTTATGCTATTGACCAGTAGTAGCGCGCCATGTTGATATTCTAGAAACCCCCATTGCGTTCTGATTGAATGAAACTCCTCGGCTCCGCCGTAGTTCTCGAGAGCCGTCCCAACAGAAAGACCATCAGAAGGATTCGTTAAGACGTAAGAATATAAGATTTTAATGTTAAAATGATCAAGCTTATTATTATTGTTATTATTAATGGCTTTATTGAATATTATATATATACTATAAAATAAATTTAAAATTTCTCAGAAATTACAAAATATGACTGGGTAGAATCACATCTAGAAGTAAGATCAACAACCCCTTGTTACATGACGTATATTGATCTCTTTGTGGTAATACACAGTGAGAAGCTGAATTTCGAAATTTCATAAATATACCCAGCAAATTATTCCTCTTTTGACGTCGTTTAGTATTCAATAAATTGACAAAAAACCCCAAATTACACGTGATAAGAATGTGTTGTTACTTTGATCATACAAAGGTAAGGAAAGAGGGGAAGTTTCTTAGTTTGGATAAATCATTTCATGCTCGTTATTAAGCGTGAGTTCCCGCTCATTAATTCATTAGCAAAGTGGGGAACTGACAAAACAGAACGTTTTGTTTCCACTATATACATACTGAGTGACTTACAATGTTCTTTCGTAGCGTTAAGCGGCCATATAATCCCGACAGCTCTGACAGCCTGTTCGAGTTCGAACTCATTGAGTTTGGTGTTAAGTTTCAAATTCTTTAAAAAAAAAGAAAGTTATTCTGTTAATTTCAATAATGAAGATGCCAAACAATGTTTGATTATTAGAGTAAATAAAGACGAAATAGATGTACACTATGTACAGGTATAGGGACATCTATCCATATGAGACTTCTAACAAAAAAACTGGCAAAAATTGATCTACAATATGTCTATTTTTCGATTGATGAGATAGTACAAAGTACCTAGGTCATAGGCCTTTAAGAGATGAAAACTGGAAAATACTGATTATTATAATCACAATACAAAGTTTAGTGATTTTATTTCAGTCCCCCTTGAATGTCAATGAGTATTTGACGTACGCAGGTTGTGTAAGTTTATGGAATCTTGAAGAAAAAGTATGACACTTATTTTTAAAGTATATGTAGCAATTACGAAGACAATTAAACCGGATAAACAGCACTCGTTAAGTAATCTCACAAGGACGTTGAAACTTTAGAGGAATACACCTCAACAGCGATAAATACATGTGTGGCAAACTAATCAGTGTAAAATGGTTAAATATAAAGCTGAAAGCTATTCAGAAAAGATTATGTTGAGACTGAATAGGTTTAAAATCCGTAACCAACTTCTAAATTTTTATTTTGTGTAGCATTTTTCCCACGTTTTAACCACTGTGGAATAATCAGCACAAATAACTTGGTGAGACGATCGATAAATTCACTATGCGATTCTGTTGAAGAATTTTCTTCGGGATTGCCATCAACAGTTGAGTAGGGATGATTATCGGCGATCGCATCAATACCACATGCTTCAGCGAACGATGCAAGTGTCAGGAAAGCTTCAGCCTGGTAACCACTTTTGATACCTTCAGCTCGTCTTGATTGAGTTTCGCGCAAAAGAGCGCACCACATCTAAAATTCAAAAAATGGTATACTTAAGAAAATAGATCGAGGATAGTAAAAAGAAGGGTTCAAGACGAGTTGTATAGACTGAAAACTCAAGTATATAGGAAACCGACCCATACAGATCAAATTCTCAACTACAGCAGCAACAACCCAAGAGCTCACAAAATCAACTGCGTACACACATTGTTCAAGAGGGCGAGGACACACTGCAGCACACTGGCAGCACGAAAAAAATGAGAAATACCTGAAGGACATATTTCAAAAGAATGGCTACCCAATCAACTTCATCAAAAAAACACCAACCGCACGCAGCATTAGAACCCGTGTCAAGCACAAAAATCAACAAAAGGATCACCCTACCGTACATACAAGGAATATCAGAAACCACAACGAGACTGCTAAAAACCTTCGGGATAGGTGTGGCACACAAACCGACAAAATCACTACAACCAATCCTATGCAAACCAAAGGATGAAATGACAAAGGAAAACAAATCAAACATCATCTACAAAATAAACTGTACCAACTGCGACAAACACTATCGGACAAAGCGGACGCCCCCTCCACCTTCGCCTACATGAACATCGATCAGCAGTCAAAGGCCATGATATCTCTTCACTCATATCAATACACGTTGATAACTATGGTCATTCATTCGATTGGAAAAATGTTGACAGAGGAAACTCCAAAAACACCAGAGAATATTCAGAAGCTTGGCACTCAGGTCAATCAGCAATCAGCAAACATATTGAAATCAACCAAATTTATCAACCAATCAGGAAAATCATTCATAAATATAGGAACAAAAATCAAACCAATGGGAGACACAACCAAAACAAAGAAGTGAACAATGATAAGTTTAAGGTCAATAAGAACCAATCAACATTGAGGTGGACAGAACAAGCTCTGAAACACATATGGAAAAATTCGAATACTTCACTTCTATCTGAAGTTTGTGATGATGACGTCGTTCAGAAGAACGATGAAAACTCCACGACCAAACCATCCAGCTCAGAAAAAAAGCTCCACCAAAAATCATTCACCTGAGCTACAAATCTTCTCCACCATCTCAAGACTGCTTGTTCTAAGAAACAACGCGTATTTCATTATGAAGAACTAACTGTCTGTTGCGAGCAAGCGAATGCAACAGTTTTTGCTGTTTTTAAAATTCAATAAACATATTTCTTTTACGGTTTATCAACACTCAGATCATTTTGTTTGCACCGTTTAGTATACATTCTACTGTACATGGTTCTTTATGATCAAAGATTCACAGTTTGAAGAAATATTAACTGGATTAACAGTGATTATCGATAACCTGTGAAGGAACTATCACCAAAATATTTTAGTATCTCTGGTTCGCATTTGTTTAAGAGTTTCAGTTGTGATAACAATAAATAAATGAAGTTCAACCCATAATTTATGGTATCTAACATTGAGTTAGGGATGGTCTGATGCCTTTAGTTTTACCACTCTTCAACCGTCCTGTCTGGCGTGGTAGGACCTTAAGGAATGATTGTTTCAGCCAGTGTAGCCTGATTGGTCCATCATGTTAAGTGGCATCAGTGCTTGAAGTCACGGACTTCTAGTCTGAGCCATGTTGGTAGATGCAGATTACTTGGTTGGAGTCCGCGTGACTATCGTAACCAATGGTTGGAGACTCTTGGTGACATGACTCAGAATTGATCACAGTGGTATAGGTGTATACACTAACTTCTAGTCTGAGCCATGTTGGTAGATGCGGATTACTTGGTTGGAGTCCACGTGACTATCGTAACCAATGGTTGGAGACTCTTGGTGACATGACTCAGAATTGATCACAGTGGTATAGGTGTATACACTCTTTGTCTTCCCTTAAACTTTGAGATTAAAATTGCTTCATATTTTTCTTGCTGTAATATATCCACATACACAATCTTTCTTTTATATATTGATATCATTAAAGTAACTACTTCTATGAATTTGTTGTTGATCTTGTTGTGTTAATGAGGTATGGCAACTTGGACCGATGCATATATGTGCCTGGTCTTAAGTTGTAGCTGACTGACTGACATACACTAATGTACACAACCTAAAACAAACTATACTGAGGTTGATAACTATTGTAATAACGGTTTAATAGCATTTTCTCAATCTTGTTGAGCATCATGAAATGTATTTGAGCAATATTTTGATTAAGGAATAAAATAAGTCTTGAAATAAAAGAAAATAACTAATTCGTCTACTGATTTTAAATTCTGAAATAAATTCCTGTGAGGTTTCTAATAATCAAACAGTAAAGATCATTTAGCTTACTTGATGAATAACGTCTTGATTCGCTGGTTCTTCGATAATGTTCTGTTGCTCTAGAGCAAATTCGCCTAATAATCTTGCTGCTCGGAGCAGGTAAACCTACAGAAATTAGATACACGTTTTGTTCAAAAATGAATTCCACCGAAATTCGAAAGAAATATTCAACAAGTAAGCATTTCCACAATTGTACAAAAAAATCAAAATTATGAAGCCTGCATAGCATTAAACAGGTACAAGCACAGTTAAACTTTAGTTGCTAAAGGCAGTTAAGTAAACAAATTTTCTTTACGGAGATGTCATTAACTGAAGCTGTACAATCACACAATGGTTCAATAAATATATTAGTATATACAAAAATAGGGAAGCATTACCTCATATAATATTTGGAGATTTTAAAAAACACCAGATAGTAGAACGGTCTAAACGTTCTTGAAAAATAGTACTTAATTATTTACTTACGCCTGTTACTCCCAGTGGAGCATAGACCGCCGACCAGCATTCTCCAACTTGTATCTCCTGAATGATGACTTTCGTAATTCTCCACCCATACAGTCGAATTATCTCGACATTTGTATTTGGGGTTCAGATGTAATTCAGTTGTAGATATGCTGCGCTTGTTTTGCCGATCCGCGTCTTCACATCCACATCAGATCCACTGTGTTCATCAATGATACTGCTCATATATGTAAGTGTTTTTATATCTTCCAAAGCTTCTCCGTCAAGTGTGATTCGATTGCTGCATGCTGTGTTGTATCGGAGAATCTTGCTTTTCCCCTTGTGTATGTTGACCTACTGCTACTGAGGTTCCTTTCAGATGCTGAAGTCTTCATGATCCAGTCGATCACCAGGAGAAAGAGAAAGGGTGAGAGTAAGCAAACTTACCTGACACTAGTCGTTACTTCAAACGAGTCTGTCAGCTGACCCCATGCACGATTTCGCAGTTTAATCCATGATAGTAATTCCGTATGATATTGAATATCATCTCAGGCACGCTGTAGTGCCGAAGAAGCTTCCATAGTGTTGTCGTGTCCACGCTATCAAATGCTTTCTCGTAGTCAATGAAGTTGATGTAGATTGATGAATTCCATTCAATTGATTGTTCCATACGGAATCCTTCATTCTGTTTAAAAAAACCGTTTTGAAGACATTTCCTGATATTTAGATAAGAGTGATTCCCCTGTAGTTATCACACTTGCTGAAATCGCCTTTCTTCGGTATTTTGAACAGAAGTCCTTCTTTCCAGTCTTTTGGTACTTGTTCCTCATCCCAAATCTTATTGAAGAGAATGTGGAGTATCCTTGCAGTTACCGTCACATCTGCTTTCAGTGCCTCTGCTGGAACGTTGTCTGGTCCTGCTGCTTTGCCACTCTTGATTCGTCTGATGGCCATGCTGATTTCTTCAATTGTTGGTGGGCCAACATTGATTGGGAGGTCCATGGGTGCTGCTTCGATGTTGGGTGGGTTCAGTGGAGCTGGTCGATTCAACAGTTCTTCGAAGTGTTCTACCCACCTGTTTTGTTGCACTTCAATGTTGGTGATTACCTCGCCTTCCTTGCTTTTTACTGGTCGTTCTGGTTTACGATAATTTTCAACGAGCTTTTTTGTTATATCATACAATTGTCTCATGATTCCTATTCTTGCAGCCTATTCCACCGTCATTGCTAGATCTCACATATATTTACGTTTGCCGTACTGATGCTCCTCTTCACTTGTTTGTTTGTTTCCTTAAATTTAGCTAGTACCTTGTCTTCCCCTGCTCTTGTTAGGCTAATATTGATTGTTGCTTCCTTGTTCCTTTTTTCTTGAATCTTATTCAGTGCATCAACAGCGATCTATTGCTTGTGGTGGTGCTTATTGAGACCCAGAACCTCATGATATGTTAAAGTGATTGCCTTCTCTATCCCTTTCCAGTTGCTCTCCACAGTAGTTCCTTCTCGATTGAGTAGATCATGAAAGGCCTGGAACCTAATGCTGACGGCTATCTTGAATTTGTTGAGTTTGTAAGTATCACGACGAAAAGCTGTACTAAACTTTTGTGATGTTGTCCGCCCCGTTGTCCAGTGCTTCTTGAGTTTCAATTTAATCTTGGCAACCAGCAAGTAATGATCTGATGCTATATCAGCTCCTTTTTTGGTTCTCACACCCTCCATCTTCCGAACTTTTTGTTGATCCAGATATGGTCGATTTGGTTCTGTGTAATGTGATCCGGTGAAGTCAATGTGCCTTGTGTATGCGTTTATGTGGGAATATAGTGCCGTCTATGACAGGTTGTTGAAGGCACATAGGTTTGTAAATCTCTCACCATTTTCGTTCCTTTCACCCAGTCCGTGTCGTCCCATGATGTCTTCATATCCGGTGTTGTCCATTCCAACCTTGGCATTTAAGTCGCCCATCAGAATGGTCAGGTCCTTTGTTGGACACTTCTTGACGATTGACTGCAGCCTATCGTAGAGTTGATCTTGAGCGTCTTCAATGTATTCGTTGGTAGGCGCGTAGCATTGGATGACGTTCATTGAAATGCTCTCTTTCCTTGTTCTGTAGGAGGCTTTGATGATCCTTGCTCCATGACATTCTCGTCCTATAAATGCATTTTGTGTTTGTTTGGATAGCATCGATGCAACCCCTTTTGTATGTGGGGCATTTTCTTCTTTATGGCCGGAGCATGACAAAAGCTCCCCTGAAGTTAGCCGTTGTTGTCCAACCTACGTCCAATGTATTTCACTGATTCTAAGCACCTTCATGTTGTATCTCTTCATTTCTGCAGCAATTTGGAAGACTCTCCCGGTTTCCCACATTGTAAGAGCATTAAATACACCTAAATTAATGGTTGCTCTGGTTGTTAGAAGAACATCAGCCTCGTGACTTCCGAAGGAACTCGGCCTACACCATGAGGCGTCACAACTCCTCTAAATGAAGACCTTATAACTCCCAGGACAGATTTTAAATGGTTTAAATTATTTTTTCTGGTTAAAGTTTTCTCAGGGAATTAGTTTTCTACGGGATGAGTGTCGTTAACCCCATGGCCAACCCTCCTTCTTTACCTGAGCGTGGAACCGGCAGAAACTCAAGAGTGGCTCCAGGTGGTGGTTCGAATCCGCCTCGCCAGAGCTGGTGAAAAACAGTAAGTTGGGAATAATTTACAGATGAAAAATATGATAGTTATCCGAATGACGGATATAATGAAGAAATGAAAAACATGTGATATCTGTCAGTCGGACAACTATCATATTTTTGATCTGTAAATTATTCTGAACTTACTATTTTCAAGAACATGTAGACCGTTCTACTATCTTGTGTTACTTGAAATCTTCGAGTATTTTAACATGTGATCCCTATATTTTCAGGAAATCTCAATTATTTACACAACTTCGTTAAGTAATATTCACAAAAAGAATTTCTTCACTGAATTGCATTTAATTATTATTAGTCAAAATATATTGTAAAATCTTCACTGGAACTATGATTAATCAATAAAGAATTAAATCCTTAACAGTACCCAGCAATCTTTATTCAAAGGCATAAAGTGGTTTCAACATTGTTTAAAATGCAGACCCCTTACTTTTCCCATAGTGGTTATCGTATTTTTAACTGTACATATAGAAGTAAAATGAAATTACTTTACAATGGATGATGATTTCGAATTACTATAAACATCTTCACTACCGATAACTACTTCGCCAGATAGAGCGCTTACTTTACACTGAAAACAGAAATATGCAATGCGAAATAATCAAGTTAGTTGTAAGTACATTTAAATAAGGATCTAGTTTGAAACAGAAGATGACTTGCAGACTAGAATAACAAAAAAACATCATTGAAAAATATTATCCATCATATTCTACACTGGTTAGATTTTTTGAACGGATTAACTAAGTTTAGTCCTCCATTTTGTATTATTAGGAAGAGGAACACGTAGTAATCCAACAAATGATATCTGATTTGTGATGGGGTATTTCATCGAGTTGAAGTAATGAGGTAAAAACATTAATTGCTACATTTATTAGAACTGTCAATAATTAATGTGTAGAAAACACCCTTGGATCTTTCTATTAGAGGTAAAATTACATAAATTTAAAGTAGATGAATAACGATGAGCATTTATCAAAAAAAGACTTTAGTCAATCCATCTAAAAATATCTGACGCAAAGTAAATATTTACCTTTCCAGGCCACGGTTTACATTTATTGAGAGCAGTGGCAGTTAACTGAACTAAAATGAGCCAAGCATGAACTGCAGATTCTTCATTTTCGACCAAAATATCATCAACTTCATCTTCAACATCGTCTGAAAACCCATCGTCATCATTGTCATTCATGATCTCATTTTCCTCTAAATCAAAGATCTTTCGTTCGAAAATTTCTTGAATTTCAACTTCGTTACCATTAACTTCTAACGAAGTGCATTTATTCAGATCCCGACATTGCTTATCTCCAGATTTAAGTGAATCTTGGACAGTATTGACTGGACCTGCATTTATGACAGTAGCTGGAGAAGTTTCGTGAATAGTTCTTGTTCGGATGCGACTATAACATCTACTGTGTTTGTTAACGCTTGTATTGGGAGAAGTGGAAAATGGTTGACCAAGCATTCGAGTAGCTAGTTGAAGTATAGCAAATGAAGCCTGATTATGTACTGACCAGTTAGGAGACTCAAGAAGAGCGTCATATAACAGTTGTGTACAATGATCCAAAAGAGGTCGTCGTAAGAAACTATTTGCTAAACCTGTAGCTAATGGAAGAATAGATTTCAAACCCAATGTTACTGCATTAGGCCAAAACAAAACAGACTGAGGTGAACATGGAGCCGAGGGAATACGAGAAATCAACTCTTCCCAGCACTCTCGCCACAACTGTTGGTAAATGTCTAAATCACTGGAATTCAATTTCGTTGATATGCTTTCTTTAATATATGGAGAAACACTTGTATTTGTTTCGCGATGAGAAGCACAAAGAGAATTGATATCAACATTACGATTTTTCGAGTGAAAGATAGCACTACTTGTTCTGGAAGAAATTAAATTTTCAACCTCACTTTCAACCTATTGAGGAGGGGTGGTGGAAAAAAGACGAAGATTGTTAAATAATAATGAAGGGTTTAGTAAAAAATTGTAATTATGCTTTAAAAAGTAATTGTAACTCGTACCAGTTATCAGACTTTATTCAGTCATAAAAAGTGTATTCCTCCAAGTATTCATAAGTCAATACCGGTCTAGTACAAAAAACAAAATGCAGTATTTTCTAGGAAGTTAAATTCTTAAGCACCTATCAATTACGGTTATAACTGACATATTTTACCAGATGATAAATAATCAACACAAAATAAGCTACCTGTTTGCTTAAGAAAATCAGTGGTAAAGTAATACAAGCATGAGCATATAGGAGATCAGGACAATGATGAGCAACAGCATGTAGCACACGAACACATGCCCAATGGCTTATTGAAATGTTACTTCCACCCTGTACACCACCATCTGAACCAGCTGTAGCTTGTTCTGGTTGTAAGTACCACGAACGTACACGGTTGAACAGTTTTGTAACACTAGTCTCCTGTGAAAGTATAAAATGATAGAGAAAATTTTGTTTTGAGAAATCATTTTATAACTTTATCTGTACGGGAAATCTATATATAAATTTAAAAGAAAATTTATATGTAACTAAAATGCACAAAAACTAGTGTAGCTGCACATATAACGCTTTAGATTACTATTATTTTAACCTATGAACTTTTTCGTTAAGTTAATTTGCAAACTTTAATTGCTTGAAGGCACAGCTACTTAAAACTAGTGTACAGAGTTCGTCTTATGACGTCCTACCTAAACATTTTCTCCATCTATTTTCTAACTGCCCAAGGATTATAAATGACCTATTTCTTTTGATTTAAAGTTTAATGAATACTATCTGTATGCAACAACGCAGGATTAGTTTGACGGTAATTAATTAAGCACTTAAACGCAGACACTATTAATATTTTTATTTTTATATATTCATTGAAAAAGGAATGCATCTATATAATGGAAGTCATGAATATATTACATACGATGGAAAAATAGTTGTAGGATAAATTTATTTAACTTTTCATCCCAGTTGCGTGTATACTTTTATTCTTTAACTCATTCTCTGAATGAATGTCCGACGCTTTAAACGGGTTGGTGGACACGAAGAGTCCACCTAGGGCAGCTGGAAAACCCTGATCTCAAACCAATGGTGCACATGGGCCCCAGAACCATATGGGAAAAATGGCGTATGAACCAACTGTTGGTCACCGGTTAACATGAGACGGCATTTCCTGATATTGATAGACTGCCTTGTGGATCAGACCTTTAGGACGAAAGCCCGCTAGGAAAACCACCTGCTTCGGTCTGGATGCCCGAGCAGGATCATAGCACACACACAAATCAAGTGATTCGTGTGGCGCTTATGTATTCGGTGCCCCTTTGTACCAATATATATGTGTTCAAATAAATACGTTCCTAATGCTTGATGGTTTCACAGTGGAGTTTTCAATGTTCTTCTGAACAACATTAGCAGTACAAACTTCAGGGGACGAAATTCTACCAAAATCATCCACCTAATTAAGCTACAAATCTTTCCCCACCATCCTAATTCTTAAACTCATACCATAATTTTTTTACTTGAAGGTTCTGCACTGTCTAAAGACTAAATGGTCGACTTATGAATGGTGTCATCGAATATGAAATCTAGTGTAGCTGCTTCAAAGCTACAGGTGCAACCTAAACTTCACTCTTCCAACATTCGTATCTTGGTCTAAATTAAATAACAGATAGGTTTAAATAAGTTTCTAAAAAGTCTTAATATTGAGTTGTGCAGTACATATGAGGCCAGTATTTTGAAAAAATGAAATAGCACAAATCTATTCTCCAACTGTCGATTAAAAGTTTGTTTGAAGTACGCTTATTCCGATACAGAGTGAAATCGGCAGAGTTTCACTGGAGACAGTGTCGCATAAGGAAGAAATACTAATTAATAAGATCGCCAGTGGTTCATGTGCCGTTATGTTAGGAGGCTCCAACAATGTGCGAAACGATATCTCTAAAATACTCCGAAAATCATGCAAAACACGTCAACGAATAGCTGATGTGGGACAAACCAGTTTCGTTACGGCTTGGAGCGTATGGATTGCAGTACGTTGCTTTAAGATGAGTATTTTCAGTGTTAATTTTTTAAACTCAGATAACCAACAAATGTTTAAACAAGAGATAATTTACTTTGGCAAACCGCAAAAGACTGGCTAAAGTTCTAGCCATTTCCTCTTGAATAACTTTCCCAGCTGAGTTTGGATGGCGACAAGCACCAGGAAGCGCAGATAAGAGTGCCGCCAGAAGCTTTCCCGTATGAGGAGCAAGGGAGGCGAAACCATCACCAGTAGAGTTGCAACAAACAGAGTTTATTTGATTACCAGAACACGAATTAGAATAACTAGTACCATCAGGCACATTGGATGACCCGTTAGCAACTGAATTGTGTTTTTGACTCTGAAGCATTGTACGAGATCGATTCCCAAGGGTTGGTGAGTCAATTGCCCCAGAGCTTAAAGAGTGTACGCTAACCTCATAAGCAGAACCGCAAGGAGGAGTTGGGGGAGACAATCCATACAAGGAAGAAGGTGATGAGTGTGATGATCCAGATGGTGAATTATATGTTTTATGACTAGGAGAACTGTTTGAATTATCTTTAAAAAAATTCGAAGTATGAAAAGCAAATAACACAAGATGTTATTAGGTTCAAGGAAATGAAAATAACATTAAAATCTTGAAAATTTTCCAAAGTTAATGTATTTAGGCAAATATAAAATCTAATGAATAAAAACAAAAGAATTTCTATTAAAAACCTAAGACTGAAATTAAATCTTAATGTTTAACATACCTAGACCACTGGTTACAAGTTGCGATCTAGAAGCTGCACACCTTATGCATGTAGTTGTTTTAGGAGAGACAGCCAAAGCGTTTGTATTCGCTGCAGCTAGATGAATTATGAAAACACAAGCAGCAGTCGCAATAGAAGCTGAACCACTAGCTCCAGTTCCGCTACTACCTCCACTAGCGCTGCTAGAACCTATAGTTGCAGAAGAAGATCCACCACCAGCCTTTAAGAGTTCAGTGAATGGTACAATGAGGCGTGATAGGCAAATATCATCAAGCAGCCGAACACACTAAAAATAGTATTAAAATAGCAGTAAAATTATAGGAAAAATGATGCACAATAAATCATGAAGCATAGATACTTTCAATAGTAATTTCTTTAAAGAGATGAGGAAAACATAATACTGGTAAGCATTTTGTAACCACTCTTTGTTACATACTTCTTTGTGTCTTAATTTAGCTCTCTATATGTATATAGAAAGCCGAGTAAATGCGGATAGTCGACAAACAGTGACAAAAAGGACTTACTAATCTCAGAACTTCTGCCATTTGAACTTCCTTGCAAGCTGAAGCCGGGTTTAATGAAGGTAATACAGATTGTTGAGTAGGGTTATTAGACGGAGCAACACTTAGTGAAATGTTCGTTGCTGATGGTAATCCTGAGGTGGAATTCAATGAATTTGGAGCAGCCTGTGAATAAATATGTAGATGATGAATAGGCTGTCGCATTAAATTAGCAACAACCGACGGGTGAATAGAAGACATTGCTTGTAATCCGGATAATACGAGCTGTGGAAGAGCAGGACGTAGTGCAGATGGACGTGCAGTACGAGCAGCTGCTAAAAGAAGTTCCAGTGCTAGTCGTCGTAACTCACTAGAAGGTTGACGGCCATTCTTATTCGAAGCTGTGTCTGCACTTAGTGACCATGGTGCACGCTCAATAATCACTGGAAGTAAACCAGGCAACAGTCCAGTTGCTGCTTCACGAGAGCACGGATTTTCCAGAACACGTATAACAAGCTAAAGAAGATTTCATGAATATAGTAGTAATAATAATACAAAAATATATTATCTCGTTAGAACAAAATGGTGAAGAAATTAAAATATAATGTACTAACATCAGTGAACGAAAAATGGCCTACAAGTCTTTTTAATACAAGGGAGCACTAAATTTCACTACTAGCCACCATTCATTTCTCAGTTAGTCAGTCAGCTACAACTTAAGACCAGGCACATATATGCATTGGTCCAAGTTGCCATACCTCATTAACACAACAAGATCAACAACAAATTCATAGAAGTAGTTACTTTAATGATATCAATATATAAAAGAAAGATTGTGTATGAGGATATATTACAGCAAGAAAAATATGAAGCAATTTTAATCTCAAAGTATAAGGGAAGACAAAGAGTGTATACACCTATACCACTGTGATCTATTCTGAGTCATGTCACCAAGAGTCTCCAACCATTGGTTACGATAGTCACGCGGACACCAACCAAGTAATCCGCATCTACCAACATGGCTCAGACTAGAAGTTAGTGTATACACCTATACCACTATGATCAATTCTGAGTCATGTCACCAAGAGTCTCCAACCATTGGTTACGATAGTCACGCGGACACCAACCAAGTAATCTGCATCTACCAACATGGCTCAGACTAGAAGTCCGTGACTTCAAGCACTGATGCCACTTAACATGATGGACCAATCAGGCTACACTGGCTGAAACAATCATTCCTTAAGGTCCTACCACGCCAGACAGGTCGGTTGAAGATTGGTAAGACTAAAAGCAGCAAACCCAAGATCCGAGGGTCAAGTCGCGCTGCTGACGACAGTAAGGCGTTTCCTTCCGTCAACCAACATAACAGCGATGCTGCCTTCTCACAAGGAGGAGTGAGGTTAGGAAAGGTCGACGCTAAAAATGCATACTTCGTCCTCATATCTCTAACAGCACTATTCATTGCTGCTTATAATGCTTGTGACTTAAGATAATATCGAGGGTATCCGCATAGGATGCACATATACCAGAAAGGGACTGATCAATTGCAATGTTAAGCATCAATGTGAAGATTCAGACAACCGATAAAAATTAATCATTTAAATATATGTTATACCGAGAGCATTTTCAGTCACTGATCATACCATTACTTCAATGACATTTTAAATAACATTTCAAGGCGAAGTATTTATAAACGGAAGTTTTAACAATTTGTTTGTGATTCAAACAAATTTGTGGTTGATATTACCATGAAGACTGTAGTAACTACCAAATGAAACTGATAAATCTTGCAAAGCTAACGAGACTGAACAGAATAACTTCTGAATATATGAATAAATATTATGAAGAAGTAGCGTGTCAAGAAAAGTAACCGCAGAAGTTTGCTGTGCTCTGAAGTCTAGTTCATTTACCTTCAACACTTCTAACGACTGTGAAAGAACCAAAGAGAGTAGGAAAATTAAGAGTGAGCAGGAATTTATGTTTTAAAAGGCCAATAAATAAGTAGGGAAAAAATCCATGCACAAATACATATACATAATTCGATTAATTCAGATAAGGAAATGTGGGGGAGGAACTTGGACAAATGAATCGACTTCTTACAATAAGCTACCTCACACTGGTAATTCTTGTTTGTCATATGTTCGTGCAACAGTTTGTGAACCGTTCTGACTTGCTTGGAAAATCATTCATTAACATATCTCATTTATTTATTTATTTATTTGAACACATAAATATTGGTACAAGAGAGCGCCAATATATATGCGCCACACAAAACAATGGGAATTCGAAAAGAAGTAGAAAGAAAAAAAACTAAGGAACGCAAAAGAAATAGAGAGTAATGACGAAGAGGTACAATCAGAAGAAATCTTTCAGGTAAGGGAGACACAACCACTTTTTATGAAGAAAGTAAAAGAAGGTTACAGCAGGATCGCCACTGGCTTCTATTCTGAGCCATATCTGATAACGTCTCTAGCCACTGTGTAGCACCATCTCTCGGACCCCAGCCAGGGAGTCGTGAAGGACCAACACAAGCCAGTCCTTTGCAGCTTTCTTTCATGCCACGACACCATGTCATGCACTGACCACCTCTCCGCTTCTTCCAGCCAGTCCCAGAGTCGGCAAATAATGCACGACGTGGAATTCTCTGGGACGACATTCGGAGAACATGTCCAAGCCACCGAAGTCGATGTTTCAAGATGGTGACACCAATTGAGTTATCATCTCTGTGCCCGAACACACGATGCCGAACCTCTGCATTACTGACATGGTGTTGCCACTGAATGTCAGCAATCCTTCGGAGACAGCGATATTAACATATCTCAAATAATACAAGAATGAGTCATGAAAAATGGGCGTCGGCCTAAATAAAATTTGTGTTTATTAACGGAAGCAAGAAAAACATAAACTTTTATTAGCGAAGTTTAAACTTACTTTCTGTACAGTGATGGCAGCTTCTTCAGCGGGAGTTGTGATGCCTGAATTATCATTTTCAAGTATGTCACTTGATTCAGATTCATCACATAGATTAAGGAGTCCAGACAATAGAGCGGGCAAATGCCCTGCAAGACGCTTATCAGCTGAAGGATGTGTGGCTAAACTACTTATAGCCAAGCAACAGGCATCTCTTAAACGAATGTTTTGTGTGCCCGTACCACTGTTTTGGGAAGTGTTTGAGGGTATTTTATTTGTTGATAATGTTCCCGAACCGTTAGGAACGTTTGTGGTTGATTGAGGAGAATTGCCACCCATTTGTGTTGAATGAAAGCTCAATGTGTTAAATCCCAGTTGAGTTTTGATTTCACATACGATCGCGTTGAAATGTGCTTCAATCTGACAAGATAAATTAGTAAGTCAATGGTTGACAGATAATAATTTGGAAAAAAAAGCAACTGATTCTTATTCATCACGTGGCAAGTCTGAATATGTTTATATTAAACCCGGCAACCGTGTACTACAATTAACTTTCATATTAATGGTGTAGCTCAAACTCAAGTGTTCTAACCTTTACTTGATCAATTAATTACATTCAAATAAACTGGATGATTAGAAAGAAATTAAGCTAATTTGATTGCTCTAATCGGATGAGAAAACTAGTGTGAATTGAAAATACTGATTGCCAGTCGTTACAGCCGCAAAAAAATGAACTAAGTCGAATAAAAATAAACTCAAGTTGCTTGAAGTAAGGACGCTTATGGAGAAAAAAATATCTAGAAAAATTTATTGCTTAAGATAAATGTTTAATATTGAAAGTGTACTTGCATGTTTTAAATGAAACAGAATATTAAACCACATGACAATAACTTAAGTGAAAAAAACGTATGTAGCTCATTCATTAGTTGCTGAGTTGCTGAGAGTAAATTGGGCGAATATTTCTCATGCGACGAATTGGCACTGTGCAAAATTATGCGACTTGATGACTTGTGTCAACCAAGTGAGAGAGAATTGAATAAAGCTTTTAAGGTTATCTACAATATACCATCTAATTTGCCACATGGTTTACCAGTGCGCCTCTTGCACATTGCGGAAGCCATCGCAATCCATGTTCACAAACCTGACCTTTGCATTCAAAAGAGATTCGTAAAACCACTTTCTCTGCCCTGGCCATCAGTTTAAGATTTCCTTCAAAAGAACTAATTTTCATACTTCTTCCACTTTTTTTTAACTTTCGTAATTTTGTTTCTGTTGCCTTTGAACTTAATAACTTCTCAACATTCATCTCTTGATTCTTACGTAACTACCATTCTATTGACCATCCGTTAAAATTCTGTTCCTTCTTTGTTTCTTACATTACGCAACGTAGCAACTTCTTGATCACTTTGAATATTAATAATCCTCTTTCTTACAATTAATCAATGTTAATTTAAATGTCATTATGTAATTATTACGTAACGTATCTACTCGATGAGTATTATATTATTATTGTAAAACATATATATATATATATATATATATATATATATATATATATATATATATATATATATATTAGTGTGGAGCCATGATGAAAAACTAATTGAAAAGAAATTTCTTCGCACAATTCGTTCCTTCTTTATTTACCAAATGGCAAAATGGGAATTTTCACAATATTGAAATGATAATTGTTCAGTAAACAATAAGAAACACCTGATTGGTTATTGCTTCATTTTCTAGTAGTAGATTTACTTCCGAGTAAGTGAATATAGTTGAGTACTCTACATCCATAACTTCCAACTAACAAATGACGAGTTCAAATTCACCTTTAAATACTAAGGTCTAGAAAGATCAGTATCATTTGTTAGATAGAGTAATAAATGAGAAAGCATAATATGTATTCACCTACAACGTAGGACCAGGCACATATGTGCATCGGTCCAGGTTGCCATACCGCATCAGCACACAAGATGAACACCGGATTCATAGCAGTGGTTAGGTCAAAGGTGGTAATATATAAGAGAAAGATTGCATATAGAGATATAGTACAAGAAGAAAAAATTGGTTCGTAGAAAGAAAGGTATGAAGCGATTTTAATCTCTTAGTTTAAGGGAAGACAGGGAGTGTATACACCGACGCCGTTGTGATCGATTCTGAGCCATGTCACCAAGAGTCGAAAATACTATTAAATAAAAGTGAAACTTACCATTTCCGAAACTAAAGAATGCAATGAATTCGGTACGGGTGATGAGGACAACTGAGTATTTTGATTGGTTGGACTTGTTATTGTTGATGACGAACCAGATATATTAGGATATGAAGTGTTAGTTGATAGAAATGGTGTTGCCGAATTAGTTGCATATAAAACCAAACCAAGCCAAACATTCTCCATTGCCTGACGAAGTTTAGGTCGAGCAAAATCAAAACGACGTACAAATACTCGAGGTACTAGGCGTGGGAGAGCGGGAGCTAAAGATCTACCGAGTCGTCGTACTAGACTTGAATAAGTAACGCTTGATGCCAAGTTGAATGCTATATTAGAAAAACAACTTCCGGATTGATGATTCCCAGAAGCATTGGCGTTACGTGACGTCGATGGGAGAGCGATGGCTAACACAATTAATGATAAAGCCAAGTCTGGGCGTCCAATTTGTTGAGCTAAGTTGCACAGTTCATGATAAACTGGGGAACTGGATCTGTAATAGTAAGAAAAATATCAACGAAATGAAGATTACTTCAGTTCATGGTAAAGATTACTCAGTATAATTGAGAAATGTGATGACAGCTGAACGAACTAACAGTAACATAACAACTAATGTGAATGCAGTAATAACTTCTTCACCAACAACGATAGTCATATAAGTACTAAATATAAAATGTTGTACCATTTGGTAGTCCGCTGTCAAAAAAACAATACTAATTACCAGAAACGTTTAAACTGTAGGTTACGATTTGTTGTTTAGCAAAAATATTTTCCGTTACTATGATCTGATATCAAGTAAAAAAGTAGGAAAGCATAAGAAATTCTGTTGTGGACTATAAGTGATGACTGAAACAAATCGATACTACGTAAAGTTGAGAATGCTAGACAGAAAAGTCAAATATCATTATGCCAACTTGAATTAATTCTCTTTATATTCAATTGTTCAAGTAAAAACAATTATCTTGAGATTCATACAGATACAACTTGAAAGAGCGAAAAGGTTACGATTAGCAAATAATATCTAGCATCAATGAATATTTGTTCGTGTTTCACAAGAGACATTAAGTATACATCTAAAAGCTGGAACAAATGATAATTTTATAAGTAATATAGCAGTTTTAGCTCGTTTTACAGTAAATTTAATGTTTAAGTGATGAACTCATGTAAAGAAGTTATTGTTGTTCCTTTAAAGGAAACCTTACTTTTTATCATCTCCGATTGCTTGTGTTAAACTTGTAATAAGCTCTGAACGTTCGTCTTCTGAACTTCTATCATAAATTAAGCCCAAAGTTGCAACAACAACGCACTGAACGGACTCTATAAGTAGAACATATAAATAGGTGAGTGAAAATCTACAAACAAGTGAATGTGATCCAAAAACTCATGTCTTATTTTGCGGTTATCTAAAAAATAACCATTACTATGACTTAAAAAAACTGTTTTGTGTAAGACTACTTGATTTATTGTCTAAAAAGGAACAAAGGAATTTTGTCCGTGCTTGGCTTTTATTTTTTTACTTTCATGTACATACTTAATACGGGAACAGCACAAAGAAATTGCGAATTTCTATAATTATTCATATATACCTTGACTTTTACCGCACAACCACAAATAATTTTTACTGAATGAGTGATAATTTAGACATAGTTAAGTTTTATCGCGACGGATGTCAAATATTTTCTTAATGAATCAAAACCTGATGATCCCCCATATAAAGTATTACAGCTCGAAAGATAAAAAATTTTTTCGTAAATTTTCAATATTTATTGTTACGTATGGGACACTTACTTGATTACACTTAATAAGTAAAGCACAAGCGGTTATAAGGAACATTAGAATTTTCATTTAAAGAGCGAATAAAAGTTTGGCGCTACAGGAAAAACTTGTAATAACTTTAAAGCACAAAGAAAGCGAGAAAGTCAGGGTTAACGGATGTCAAATTGTAGCATCTCGCAAGTGCATCTACTTCTGATGGTAATAATTATGAACAACAAACCTAAAAAATAATATGAAGTAGGTGTACGTCACAGATTGATACAAACTGGGGAATTGTTAAATAGTCACTATAACCTAATTTGTAAAAAAAAAAACCAAACACTACTTTATAAAAGGTTTGTAAGTAGGATTTAAGCATCCTAATCTAAAAATTTCGTAAAACCATAGGTTTAAAAAACAATAGAATCAAAATAGTTATCTTTACCATCTTTTTGGTCCAAAAGATCAATTAGCAACTGGTAAGAAAGTAGTGATTTTGGAAGTGGACCCAAACGCCGAACTAAGTTAAGAATCCATAAAGTTGCAGCGATTGTCACTGGTCGTGTTTGGACCTGTCCTGGGCGGGGGGTAAGTAGTGATCGAAGTTGTTCTGCCAACCATCGAGCATTTGGTCCGGTAACAGCAGCATTTAAACTATGTGCTGGAATGACAAGAGGATAATTCCTTTCATACCAATGAAATCGATAGGGTGATATAGGTCCAAGAATGCAGTCAGCTAGGGCAGTCCCTACAGCTAAATGAAGGCTTGGGTCGTTAATCTGAACAGATATATGAGAGAAAAAATACGAGTAAGAAATGCTGATACAAATATTTTATCTGGTATATAAATTGATATTAAAATATATACTTTTAAGTGACCGAAAAATCATATAAAAATCTTATCTTTGGAAACACTAACTGATGGAATGAAATAAAATGTTCTGTTTTTGAAATAGATAGATATTTTAAATTATGATAAAATCTGACTTCATTTTGGAAACATTAAACGGAGTTACTAGACATTATCAGGTTTTAATTTCTGAATATTCATCAGAAATCTTAATGAAATAAGACTTCAGCCAGCTATGAATTATGGGGAGCTATAGTCTCCTTCCGCAGTCGGTAGAATCGTGAATGTGACAAAGCGATAAAATATCCATTATAACATTTCTAAGTGATCTTAATAAAGAAATGACAGAATCGCAAATCAATAATTAGGATCAGGAGTATGGTCGCCTAGAGATACAATAATAAACGATTTCATGAAACTTGTTAGATAACAGCAGAGAATAGATTACACCGCAATAAACATACATGTTTTACAGCCATTTCTTAGGAAGTAGGGATATCAGCTTTTAGTAAGAAAAAAGCATTTCTTACATGATATTTCTTTTTCTTTAATACGACACTAGTGGTTCGAAATAGTTCATAGCATAAATTTCAATCTTTATACGAAATGTGATCCAATCACATGCGCAAACCGGAAAATTTCTGAGAACACTAGTTGTAGAATACTCCATGTATTAGCATCAAAGTTGTTATTAGCGAAAAAGAGATTGCGATAGTAAGAGAAACTATTACCTGATATCAAATAGTAAATATAGACAAAAGAATAAAGGTTAAAAATCGTCATCTAAGCGACTGAATCGATATAAAACTACCGAGAGTACAAAAGCATACAACGGTTACGCGTTTTTTTTCCAAAATTGTGAAGACTACGAGAAATCATTTATATATTCATTTATGGCGGCTAATAGTCGACACAGAAACAAAATGAACTTCAGAATAAGGAGCGTCTGTTTTGAAAAATTACTGGTTTAAAAATTTAAAAAAAACTATCAAAAAATTGTTAAAAAACGAACCACAGTTAAGTTGCTTTTTAGGGATGTTTGAACTAAATGACTGTTGTGCTCCTGTTGGGAACGTTAGATCCACAGAACTCACTTGGGAAAGGACCTAATTTTGTAATTTTATTTAGAAAATTTGAATTTCTGTGTTTTCGCGCCAAGGGTGCTCTTGTCACCTTCATGTCGTATTTCCCACTGGGAAATATCTTGAATGCTATTGGTCCGTTGCGTCTTTTATTATGCTACTTGGTAACTCTCCCTAAGGACGGTTTGGTACTGTATATATACGTTTTGAATTGTGTTTGTTGTCGTCGCTCGTTTCTGGTTGTTTGCAGAATATACTTCCCATTCCAAGTTTGGAATTCTTTCTCTAGTCAGCTGGGCTGGGACGCATCAATAGCTAGCTTACTGGTCTTTGGTCACCGAGTGTTGTTTCTCGTTTGCAGATCAAGTGAACTCGTGATAGCTTCAACCATAGCAGCTCCTCAGCTAGTACACTTAATAAAGAAGCCATTGATAGAGTAGTTTACGTACTTTTACTCTGTGACTAATAATTTCTTAATTAAATTCATTCATCGAGTACTGCTCAATCTTTCCTTTTTTTGAATGATGATAGCTATGTCCTATTTCCGTATTGATAGTAACTATTTGTCATAAGAACAGAGTAGTTGTACACAATCTATCTACAAATTAGCACATACCCTCTTGAGAGCATAACAATAAGTGCTTTGATCAGTTATTTGTATATATATTACCTACCGACTTAAAATGTAGGATTTTCCCTTCAATTTCTTATATCTACATTATATGCGGTGTGATTTAAATTGAGAGAGTTGAACAAAGCCTAAAAACTAGTTAATCAAATGCGACGTAGAATCTAGTATGTGTGTACATCGGTTCACGTTCCTATACTTTATAAGCACAGTGAGATAAAAACCTTAAGGCACACATTAGAGTATTAGGGTTAGTAAAAGTATTAGTGGTCATAGAAAAAGATTAAGCATCGAAGATACGATCCAAAAAAATAGTTCACTAAAAAGATTGTGATGAATTTTGAAACTTAGAATCTAGGGGAAGACAAAGAACAGATGCATCTGTACCATGCCATCCAAAGGCTTTTACCATTGGTAATGACAACTATGTGGACCCTAACCAGAAAGTTTTCAACTAACTAGATGGCTGAACGTCTGATAGTCAATGAATTCATGAACTGGTATCATGTCTTGGTTTGACCGTCAGTAGATTTATTCCACCGCACTCCCACACCAGACATTTCCCGTCGAGGTAGGTGGTTGGGCAAACGTAACACAAGTCCTTACCACCTTATTCGATGAAGATTCAGTGCTTTATCAATTGGTTTGTCATACCTACCTAATACGCTGTTCCTAACCCGAGGATTGCTTGGGTTTGAAAATGAGCATAGCAATTTGATAATTTCTCCTTAGACGAATCCAAGATAGGGATTATGCGCTATGTCAGCAGACCTTAGATGATGGTAGTTAAAGTATAAGAGCGAGAGCAATTTCACAAAGAACATTAGAGAGGATGAACATATAACGGACAGTCAAGAAATCGAATTTCTACTTACTTCAGCCGTACCCACCATAATTTTCAAAATAGAAATCGTGTGGGGATGACATTTGGGTTTTGAGTTTTCGGTTGCTTTAGATTCTGAAGAATGAGATGCTTCATCTTTTGTGGTTTGATAACCTTCACCCATGCAAACGGCTGCCAAAGTTCGAAGAGCAGCTTGTGAAACTCTTGGATATCTGAGTGACGATGAGGAACGTTCTTCACTAACGGTTGGCAGATATGATACAATTCGATGAACAAATGAAGCTTTGGAACACAGTAATGAGGTGGTCGAATTATTACCTTCAATGGGTAATGTTCCGGATGGAAGATGCGATAAACAACCAGCTCTACCAATAACAACAAGTGCCTCGAGTAATGCAACCACCGTAGCTTGTGATACACTAGAATTAACATAGCAATATCCATCGTTGTCCAGAGTATTTTTTGTGTTATTTATTTTTAGACTATCAACAAGCTGACTAGGCTTTACCAAAAATCCATCTATGAAACGATGAAAATTAGTAAAGACAATATGTAGAAGTTGATACACATAATCAAGAACTAAAGGCTAATTAACAAAGATTTACTGAAGTATAAATTCACATACTTATGGATAATTATTTTACATGTTTGTCATTAGTTTTATTCGTTGTTCATATGAAAATATAGGTACGATAATCCTTGGTTAAAGAAGGATGTTATTATCTCAGTTTAAAAATTTCCGTTCAGAAATGAGAATTAAAAATTGGCGTAAATTACATTTGGACATTAGTAATACAATAACAAAAGCAAACATTTTTGGCATATAAAATGAGTCTATCTATTTAATTATTGGGATTTACTTAAAATTAATATCGATAATTTGAAAAATTACTAACCCATTAGACTTAGCAGTTCCTCTATAGTCCGAATAATATCAGTTTGGAGATTTCTATGATTTTGTTGTTTTTCTTTTTTTCCCTTTTTCGTTTGTTCCGCTGAAGACTGTTTATTGGTTTTAGAAGTGACACCAGTGGAATTAAATGGTACAACATAAGCCGTGAATAACCGTTCGAGAAGATAAGCTGCACCCATGAACATGCCCTGAACTGCATGGGACGATTCGCCATCAATAACAGAACCTGGGCTGGGAAGTGTAGCCAGCATACCTTTTGCTGTTTGCAAAGCCTGAGCGGGGGCTTCAGTTTCCATAACAACCACACTGTAGACAGAAGCGCAAGCGTGACGACAACTCGCTCCTCTAGGGGTTGCCAACAATACATTCTAGAAAACAACGGAGCAATTTAAATTTTAAAAAATGAATAAGATATGCTTGAAAGAACTCAAATTCCTCGTTTTTACAGTTTATGCTCAATATCCAGGTCTTGCTCAGATTAGATCGACTGAATTCAGTTACGCATAATAACCGAAAATAGATGCACAGAATAAACAAATAGTGAAAATGTGAGGAGCATGAACGCAGATCAAGGAACCCACCGAAAGATTCAGAATATTCATGGGTCACAATACACCTCAATTTTGTCAGTTCTATAACAGAAGTACATGATTTCGTGCTAGACGTATGCTCGTAATACCGCAGAACTCCAAAGAAAGTGATTATTGACGATGATTTCTAATTTAAGTCGAAATGGTAAACTGATTTTTGTTAACGCACCACTGAAAATTATATTCGCCCACTACTATACCATCCATAATCTAATGGAAAGATTCAAAGACTTGTGGACAGTTCAAGGAGCAGATTTGATTTTAAAAAAGGGAACATGCTCTAGCAGAGATAATTCAGTGTATCCTATTCATTTACAAGAGTACCCAGTACAACAGAAATCGTTAGGAGAGGAATTAATGGGACGAATGCATCGAACAATAAACTGCATACTGAGACCAGTCAGGAGCAAAGACAACCAGGTGATATTTTATATTAGACTGATGAATCAGTGTTTGCGGATGTAACGGAAATCAAGCATGTGTAAAATGTGTCAGTGCGTAGAAAACTTTTAGAGGTAATTGTGAAAGGAAAAATATGAGTGGAGGGTTAGAACCTACAACACAGAAAACTCAGTGAAGATCAGCCAGAAGAACTCAAAATAACCACTAAACACTTTCCTTGATGCTTTTAAATTTTAGATGTTACCAACAAAAATGCAAAGCAGTGAAGAGAGAGTGTAAATTGAAAAAATTGACAAACTTAAGAGAAGAAATACCGTAAGATTTCAAATGCAATAAACTTATTTCAAAAACCAAAAGTATTTATTTAATCTAAAATATCTGTTTCATTAACATTTCGAAAAACGACAGCTCAAATACGTAGGGAAGCCCAAAGTAACCTTTTTTATTTTATATCCTCACTGGGTCTTATGCTATCTGATTAGCTGTTCTAACACTTCGTTTGCTATTTTTTCGTGTATCTGGTTCAGACTTGCTATTGTATAGGAAAAGTTCTACAAAAATTTTCACTTCTTTGTTTACTAGGACCATTTTCAGAAATCCTGATCTCTTAAATTGTGTGAGAGATTGTTATTTTAAATGTTGTGTATCAGTCATCCGGTTCGTCCAAATGATCGATGTTTGGAATCACCGTAAGCTTAAAAACGTAACATTACGAACTGTCAAAATTTGGCTTATTAGAGATTTCGAATATTTTCAGTGTGTTGGACGATAGAAAAACTTAAAATCTCTGAGAGTAGGTAAAATTAGGTTTGGAGGCAGTCATTTTTAAAAAACAAGTACTTGAAAACAAAGAAGTTTGTTCGTAAACAAGTAGAAAAATATTTGACCAGAAGATAAATTGTAGTACGTCGGTAAAATATGATTACCTATTTTTATTCGATATATATTAAGGAAACTCACATTCATACGATCAAAAAGTTGCTTATTACAAGTAATCAATTCTTTGGTATTGCCAACCAAAACTTCTTCTAGATAGTTTGGGAAATCTGGAGCTGTAAGATTTAAGGAAAATAAGAACAAGTTTTATAACCTGGTTTTGAATCACTCCAAGATAAAACACTCAAGCAACTGTTGCTGCATATCTACCGATTATTTGCATTTTTATATATCACAGATTTAAGAATCTGATTAATTAAGATAAAAATTTAATGACGATTACCAAGGAGAAAATCACAAGAGTCTGGTGCTTAATTGTAATACGTAGCAAACAGCTACTGAAGTACAGAAGTGGATTGAGGAGTATTAGAACTCGAAATCAGGGGCTCAATGAAATAATAATTGTCTTTTGCTAGAGATTTTGTGTGATACAGCACGGCGTCGCTAGTAGTATAACATGCAGTGCATTATATTAACACCAAATTTTCACTTAAGGTATTCTTTTGCGAAGTCTTTCATCAACTCTCTGTCTTAAAGTTTTGCTTTGCTTTTATAAAGGTTATTCTGCTTGCCTGATGCAAATTATGAATGGTTGTTTTATTTCTTAGGTTGCCTGATACTGACTTGATTAATACATCAAACACTAATTTTCTTCTACTACTAGTATCTAAATTCGAATGTCAAACCTTAACAACATTAGGGGGAATGACATTCATGTATACTTTTGGAGTTTTGAACACCCTATCATAACAATGATAAATTTCGGCTTATTTACAGGTGATAATATAGTGTAATGATTTTTTAATGTACAGGAAGTATTGCCTGTTGAGAAGTCTTTCTTAATATTCACAAGGGTATAGATGATTTGTGATATTTCGTTTGAAAAATAAATTCAGATACTTTTCAGAAAATTAGGTGAGATGAAAATAAAATAAAACTAACAATCTTTAGTGTGTTGCGATCGCGTGAAAATAACCACTTGAATAAGACGAAAATAAGTGTCGATACTGCGTTTCGCTTGTTCAGGATTGATAACTGGAACATTGGCACCAGTGGAAATAGAGGTACTCGTTGAAGTTGTAGATACAGATGTTGTGTTGCTAACTGAAAGAGGGGTTTGAGATACGGCTGTCGTCAAGTTTCCAGCAGAAAGAAAGTACCGTACAGTTTGGTTAATCAAATATCGAACCTCTTCTTCCGTTTCGTAAGTAAGCCCAGCCTCCTGTGCAGGTGTTAGGCCACCATGGGTTGCCAACAAGCATAAACGAATAAACTGAACCACCTACAGGAATCAATATATGGTGATTAGTGAAATATATATGTTCTGCACGGTAAATACGCGAATTAGGCTACCAGAATTCTAAGTAATGCACACAACCCAGCAAACAACATATGACGTTAAACATGAACACTTATCATCGTGGAAGAATTTGGACTTGATTGTCTATTTACTTACAAAAATTGTAACTTCTCTGACCTGTTTAGTAAACTCGTAAACCAAGGTAAAAAAAAAACACTAATATTACAAAATTTTGGGTTGTTCGGTCACTATACTAGATTATTGTTCTCGATCACTAGAACTGTGTTCTGGCATTTCTCATCGTCCCCCGAAAAAAAAACAGAAGCTATCCACGAATACTTTAAGTAATGGGCAAAGTGTATTGTGGTAAAAGTTGAATATTTCGAAGGTTATAAGACTAACGAGTTTGTACAACGAGATGTGAGTGACACCAGTGAGAGTGGTGTTTAAATCAGAAATACATTAGAGAAATCCGTCGTTGCGGAGACCACAAAATCAAATCAATCCATAAAATAAGTTTAAATTGAAAGATAACGATTCTAGGTATAGATCTTCGTAACTGTCGCGATTCGAAGTTAGGGAAGTTGAGTGGCGCAAAACACACCTTATTGTGATTGCGACTGATTACAATCAGTCAGTCAGCTAAAACGTAGCACTAGGCACATATATGCATTGGTCCAAGTTGCCATACCTCATTAACACAACAAGATCAACAACAAATTCATAGAAGTAGTTACTTAAATGATATCAATATATAAAAGAAAGATTGTGTATGAGGATATATTACAGCAAGAAAAATATGAAGCAATTTTAATCTCAAAGTTTAAGGGAAGACAAAAAGTGTATACACCTATACCACTGTGATCAATTCTGAGTCATGTCACCAAGAGTCTCCAACCATTGGTTACGATAGTCACGTGGACTCCAACCAAGTAATCTGCATCTACCAACATGGCTCAGACTAGAAGTCCGTGACTTCAAGCACTGATGCCACTTAACATGATGGACCAATCAGGCTACACTGGCTGGAACAATCATTCCTTAAGGTCCTACCACGCCAGACAGGACGGTTGAAGAGTGGTAAAACTAAAGGCATCAGACCATCCCTAACTCAATGTTTGATACCATAAATTATGGGTTGAACTTCATTTATTTATTGTTATCACAACTGAAACTTAAACAAATGCGAACCAGAGATACTAAGATATTTTGGTGATAGATCCTTCACAGGTTATCGATAATCACTGTTAATCCAGTTAATATTTCTTCAAACTGTGAATCTTTGATCATAAAGAACCATGTACAGTTGTACAACATAACCAAACTTCAGATTATTAGAAGGAAAATCCCAGAAATACGAAATTTACCGGAATCAGACGTTCCACTTCAACAAACGGGTTTTTACGTGAATGTTGAGTATCCTAAAAGTAAAGACAGAAATTTTAGGGAAAAATTATTCATAAACATTTTTCGACATCATCCACCAAAGGATCAATATTGTATAAATAAACTGTTGTAAAGAAAACGCTGTAAAATTAGTTACATCAAATAAGATGTCATCACAGCATATAAGTCTCGTGATTTCATTCGGAGATACAGTTCGTGGGATATCGACAGTATAATTACGGAGAAGGAATATATTAATAGCTTATAATTATCAGTTATAAAGCATACGACATAGTTTCTTCTCGTCAGAACCCAGTATATCAGAAAGTGTAAACTAGGGTACTATTTTGAGAAACAAATTAAACACCCTTTCGAGTTGTGATAAGCGAATTAGAATTTTATTGTCATTATAAGAGTGACGCTTTCACAGTTCAAACCAACTATGATGAATGTGATATGTTCGTGCGTTATAATAATGTTTTGCAATACTGATTGTCGTACAATGAACACAACTGCTTCTATTCTCTTTTTAATTATTCCGTTAGCTAAAGTAAAGAGACTAGTTCAATAGTTGAGGCTTTTTGACGATGACCCCAGTATATTAATCAAAAATACATTTAAGTTAATCAATTATATATCGACCATAATTATTAGAATTTGTAAACTGAGAATTTATTACTGATTGGAAATAGTAGTAAAAATGTACTGAAAGTTTATGAGCTGAGTTCACACTGAATAGTATAAACTAATGGAAATCGACTTTAATAGACGCCAAATTCTTTACTCATAAGTTGTATTTAAGGGTTGAACACATTAAACAGAATCTCACAATTTATGAGAAACGTTCACCAAAATTCCCCAACCAGTCACTTCAAAAAGGAAGAAAACCGTGGTATAGAACTAAATAGTCAGCTAAAAAGCCTTTATAACACGAGTTGATTGTCGATTCCTACTTCTAGGCTCGGTGGAACTGTGCTTCATGTGGTAGAAAGTTATGCATCGAAAAATAACGTCAACCAAATACTTCTTAACAATGAATTGTTCTCAAGTCAGTCAGTCAGTCAGCTACAACATAGGACCAGACACATATGTGCATCGGTCCAAGTAACAGCGTTCTGATGTTAAAATGTTTCCTAAATAACTCATATATGTATGTTATTTTGTATACGACTCACATGATTAACAAATTCAACGAAAGATGGTAGTTTAACGCGCCCATAGACGATGTCATGAATAATATTAGGGTCAAGAAACTGTTCGAAAGCCACGCATGCTTCAGCTCTTACGCGAGGATCCCTGAAATAAAAATAAAAAATATAAACAAAGAGTTTCTTTAGGAATAGTAAAGGAATTTATATTCACCCATATAAGTGTTTGAAAACAATCTATTCAAGCAGAGATTTTAAGTATTCTATTGAAGAAATGTACTGTTAATATAAAGATCGAAAACATATTTTAAGGATAAGGACACAAGATACTTTTTAAATACTAATGAAAAACTGCTATACATAGATCTATCCTCTGTGAAAAAGTCCTTTTTTCTTGAGTCAGAGAACTAACCAAAAAAATTTAAAGCCTATTTAAATCAGATAGTAAGCAACCAAAGTGGAACTCAACGTTTCAGGACATTGGTCATAGAAGTAAACTATCTACTTTATAATTATTTACATCCTGATCTCTAGACGGAACAACTTTATTGAATAATACATAGCTTTGTTAAAACAATCAGCAAGAACCATTTAATCACTTTCTATCTTATGATTTTATTTTAGTTAAAATTGTATATGCAGTGATATCTTTCTTAAAAAGTTCTCTGCAGTCAAAGGTCAGGATTGTATTTTGCTATTCCATAGCTCAGTGAGATAAGGTTATAGTGACAGAAATCATGCATGATTATTGCAAATTCTTTTCGATTGTCGAACTATAGTCTATTCTGCCATATAAAGGCTGCTAAAGTTTATCAGATATAGTGCTCGAGATAATTCCTCGCTTAACAGGCAAAAGTCCAATTAAGCTTGGCTCAAAGGAGGCCTTGTGGTTATACTAAAAAGGCCCACAATACAAGTTGCGGAAAAAGAACAGCTTAATTAAGAGGAAGACGACTAACGAAAATGTTAATTTAAAACAACCTACAAACTTAATGCCCTTAAATTAAAAAAAGGTTATATAAAACCAAACAGCTGAATAAAACTGGACGGATATAATCAAATGAACCATAAAAATTCAAAAAAAGCAACGTACTTGTCGCCCAATGCCTGCAGTATAAGATACCTCGTAGGGATGTGATCAGATGGATATATTAGACCGGCAAAGTTGACAGCAACTAAACGACTCAGGGGGTCGGGCTAAAAGAGAGTAACCAATTATTTTGTTCCAAATTAATTCTATATTAGTTATAGGAAATAGAAAACTAGCGGTCAAATAGAAAATAATGTGATTTAACCTCATATAAAATGGATATCGAAGTGATGGTAAATCAGTTGATAGAATTGTGAATTTTTATCGACTGAGATGATTGGGTCACGTGTTGCGTATGCCTGAACACCGATTACCAAGACGCGCAATGCTGACTAGTGTTGGAGATAGTTGGAAGAAAGTTAGGGGCGACCAAACCAAAACGTGGCATCAATGCTTGAAGTCACTAACTTCTAGTCTGAGCCATGTTGGTAGATGCAGATTACTTGGTTGGTGTCCGCGTGACTATCGTAACCAATGGTTGGAGATTCTTGGTGACATGACTCAGAATTGATCATAGTGGTATAGGTGTATACACTAACTTCTAGTCTGAGCCATGTTGGTAGATGCAGATTACTTGGTTGGAGTCCGCGTGACTATCGTAACCAATGGTTGGAGACTCTTGGTGACATGACTCAGAATTGATCACAGTGGTATAGGTGTATACACTTTTTGTCTTCCCTTAAACTTTGAGATTAAAATTGCTTCATATTTTTCTTGCTGTAATATATCCTCATACACAATCTTTCTTTTATATATTGATATCATTAAAGTAACTACTTCTATGAATTTGTTGTTGATCTTGTTGTGTTAATGAGGTATGGCAACTTGGACCGATGCATATATTTGCCTGGTCCTACGTTGTAACTCACTGACTGACTCATACCCCATCAATGCTCATCTTCGTGGAGTTAAACCATACCAGTTTTACTCAAGTTTAACAATTTTTGACTGTAGTTAGTGTGTGATCTTCTGCTAGAAAACCTTGTATTCCAAACAATTTTAGAATTATTCTTTCTTCTTCGATTTTATTTAGAGACTTGGCACATACCATGATCTTTTCGTGAACCAATTATTTTCGTTTTGTTTTATGTTTTAAATCTCTTTGTTAGTAACTTAACATGTCTCTGTTCATTCTAATTTTAGGGACGCAATGAGCCTCGTCGTCCTCTTAGCCCCAATATGCGCATCAAGCTTGGTCATTATCTTATGCGTTCGCGTATAACATTTCCAGGCCCTTTAGCTTCTAGCTTAGTGGAAGCTGCTATGCTAGCTCTTGATCCGAGTTCATTAGCACAGTCAAATTTTCTTTCAAACTCTGGACAAAAGTGTACGGCTAACTGCATTCATGGTACGATTGAGAATGGTTCTACTTCAGATAATGATTCTGCAACTTACGTACAAACGACTAGTAAGGCCCAAACAGAAGAAACAATACCCGCCAGTACACCTGGAAATCCTACTTGTTCTTCAACTTCAGTTATTCAACAGAGGCGCTTAGCTGAGCATGGGCTAGATTTACTTTCTCATCTCATCAATAAGTAAGCTTAACCTTTAGCTCCTCATATTTGTGGTGTTTGATTTTTTCCGTGACTTATTTTCTAGTCTTTCAAAGTATCTGTTCTATTTCGAGATAGTTTACAATTATGCTAAGTTGAGAACAGCAGGAAGATATCTCGTTATTTGAAGAGCAGGCCCGTATGCCAGAGGTCTCGACAGTTGAGTTTTGAAGCTCACATAGTCGTGACCAGTATTCTACCTGTCCTCCTATATTGGCAAGTCCAGTCTAGACTGAGAGTAGTGACATTGTGATCAGCTCCCGAATGCCGGCCTGTTTGCAAGACTACCATTTTTTAGAGTACCTGTCAGGATCTTGATTACGATCTGTTATCCCTACAACTTCATTGCTGTTGCGCATATTCAGTACCCTATGTGGTCAGACTTCATAAATAAACTGCCCACATGCAAATATGGAAAATTCTTTCAAGGTGAACGGAGAAATTTTCACACTATCGAAAATACGCCGATATCAAAAAAATGTTCACAACTACATGAAATATGTATGGCTTCAAAAAATATGCATTATAAATTTTCGAAAATATATCGGGAATTGAAAAATACCTTCTCAATATTTTCATAGAGAAGACGTTCCAACTTAACTAAGTGTCCTCGAATAGAAAGACAATTTTGTTTTTGTGCACTGTGTAAAGCGACGGCTAGCCTTCTCAAACAATGAGCTGCAGCAAGTTTCAGTTCATTAGGATTCTCCTGAAATAAAATTATGAGAATATTTCAATAAGCAAACTTGCAAATAAAAGACTTAGTTTATCGAACAACACTTAGGGAACGAACTAGAAGGTTATCGAAACATTTGAATGCCTTGATATGGACGGATAAGAGAATAGATTACTCTCACTTTCAACTGAAAGTTAGGTCCTGTTCTAGCACATATTTTCGTGGCTAATCTCGAAAGAACCAAGCTCAAATGAGCGATTCACGAAATGATGTATGATTCGATATATGTTGATGATACCTTCATCGTATGTAATAATCAAAAACATGAAGCAAATCTGCTAAAACTTTCAAACAAGCCCACCAAATATCCAATTTACTAAGGAACATGAAAATGAAGACAAGTTCTATTTTCTCGATATCACAATAAAACGAAGGAAGGATGGCACAGATCAACGTTCAGGTTATAAGAAATATACAGAATGGGATTTATCCAAATTTCAATAGCTTTTGTCCAATCACCTACAAAAACGCATTTAAAAAACTGTTTCACAGAACAGAAAGAATATGCACTGCCGATACTTTAGATGTGGAAGCAATGAATGTTAACAAATGTTAAAAGAATAACGCATATCCACTGAAATTTATTAAAAAATAGAAAACGTGAAGATAAAAGACCCAAAGAAACTTCAGTAAATAAAAAAACCCATTTTTATTCAAATTAAATCTAAAGGTGATGATGTCACAGTATCAATCAATATGACTAAAAACTGCATTGACAAGGACTTATACTACAGGTAAACTTATTGTCCTGTCCAAAACAACATAATCTTTAGCACAATCAAAGGTCGATAGGTATCCCTTTCATGTTATCATCTACCGTGTATACAAATTTATATGTATCTGCCTAAGCAGTTACATTGGTAGAACAGAAAGGAGAGCCTACGTTTGATTTTAAGAACATATTCCGAAAAGTTATAGGTCAGGTGGATTAAAAGTATTCAGCAGTGCCATCTCAAGACATCTCCTTAACACAGGACATCGATTTGATACACAGAAGTCTTTTAAGGTGATTAACAAACAATCAAACAATCAATCTTTTGAGATTTGCCGATACGATAGCAATCGAACGTCTAAAACCAAATTTATGTATCCAAAAAATGCAGTAATAAATGTTTCTTTGCCCCGGTAACATTATATCCCTTTTTATTAATTACGTCATTCATTATTTCGACTCTTCCTGAAGTTTGATTACATCATTATAGTTTTTCTTCAACTTATAACTGACTGATTTCAATTCATATCTTTCTTAATTAGCATTAAGCTGTTTTCAGTTGCTTCATTACGCAATCATCTGATTGTTAACTCGATGAGTTCTAATCACGATTTCAAGGTCCTAGAATATTCCCTCTCCAACGTTATTTTTCCGAAACAAAATTATTATGATATTAAGTCTATGGGAATCTTCGCTACATCATGATACATATATTTATCTCTAATCACTGTCGTATTTACAAGTATGTCAATATCTGTAATAACGTTGATTTTAAATGTTATCTGTTGTAAGCAGCTGAGGAGAACGTAACGACATAAAATGAAATCATATTATTCTGCACTAATCTTCGTTCTTGCTCTTTAAAATATTCTGACTTATTTAGTTGTTATTCTATCCCTCCCTTCTCTTTATGATATGATCACCTCATTTGTGAGGTATTTTCTGTCCTCTACTGTACTAGGACTTATATGCTTAAATAACTAGACCGATGAAAATAGGAGGAAGGATAAATGTTAAGAAGATTCGTTCGATGAAGACTCACCTCAGATAAGACGTCAAACAATCGAGGTAGCTGACCAGGGTCTTTAAGTAAATAGTTTGGGTCACGAGCCAGAAAGCGAGAAAGAATTTCGAAAGCCCTTGCCCGTACATATGTTAACTGGAGTAAAAAAACAATATGGTCAACCATGAAATTATCAATTTAAAATTTACGAATCAAATAAAACAGAAACGGAAAAGATACTTACCTCATCGCTCGTACGTTCATAAGCAAAGTTGATAAGACATCGAAGAGCCGCGACAGATGCTGATCCATTTAGAGCCGTGACACTATCGAAAAAAAAGAAGTGCTTTTCATGCTGATTTGATTCAATTTGAAATAGCATTCCTATTGTAAATAGCGTTATTATTATTATATATGTCGGATATACAAACGACGATTATAATGTAACGCATACTTTTGGGTAATGTAGATAACAATATAGAAAAACCCTAACCATCTTGCTGAACCCGTTTCTTAGTATCGCATATGAGTCTCCTCAGTCAGTCGGTCAGTAACAACGTAGAACTTCGTATGTACGTACACCAAATCGAGTTGCCACACCACATTAGCACAGAGATACACTTGTCGATTCAAATCCCATAGTGGTAGAGGTAGTAACAGTATAAGCAGTAATCGGAAAGATTAGGGTTTGAAGATGTTATTTAAAGAGTATAATCCAGTGAAATAAATTTGGGAAGAGAAAAAAAGAGACAAGAAGGAATCAGGAGATTAGAATTTGGGAGAACACAAAGAGTGGATGCACCTGCGCCATTGCAAACGATTCTGAACCTTGTCATTCAGGGTCTCTAACCATCAGTTGCTATCATCTCGCGGTCCCCAGCCAGGTAGTCTACATCTGCCAACGTGGCTCAGTCCACTTATCAGTGACTCCATGGATTTGTGCATGTTTTGGTCTGGCCACCCCTAGCTTTCTTCCAATTTACTTCTATACCATGAAACACCACACGTCGAGGAAGTCGGTCGTTGGGCATACGTAACACATGTCCGAGCCATCTCAACTGATCAAGTTTCACCACTTCATCAATCGGTTTGCCATCCTTACCTAGTACCCGTTTCCTAACAACTGCGTTACTTACTCGATGGTCCCAGGATATACGATCAATGTTTCGAAGACACCTATGATCAAATACTAGTAACCTACGAATATCCTCTACTCTTACCGACCACGTTTCACTGCCATAAAGTAGGACGGAACGGACTGCTGCGCAGCAAACACGTCCTTTGGTTGGTAGACGGATATCTCGCCTATGCCATAAATGACGCAAGTTGGCAAAAGCTAGTCGAGCCTTCTGCATCCGTGCTGAGATCTCGTCACACACCAGACCACAGGGGCTGATGAGACTCCCAAGATAAGTGAAGCGGTCGACACGCCCAACTACTTCACTCCCTATCATTAGTTTGGGTGTCGATGCATTTCGAGGGGAGGGGAACTCGCATCCCGAACATGCTTGCACTGTTACTTATAGTGTTCAGAAGACTGGATTTTGTCAGCGTCTTCACCAAATAAAACTATGCCATCGGCATATTCTAGGTCAAAAAGTGAATCTCCCGGTAGAAGTTCAACACCTGGAAATTTAGCCGAGAAAAGTGTCATCTCTAAAAGCACGTCAACGACAAAGTTAAACAAGAATGGAGAGAGTGGACAGCCCTGACGAACACCACTTGAGGTAATCAATTCTGATGACAGTTCACCATAAGCTCTCACTCGACCAGTTGTGTTCGAGTAGAGAGCCTTTACAAGATTAACGTACTTCTTTGGTACTCCTTTCAATGACAAACACTGCCATAGAACCTCACGATCAACCGAGTCGAATTCTGCCTTAAGATCGAGAAACAATAAGATTGTGGGGCGTCTGGATGTGTGCCTGTGTTCTAGGATCTGACGTATTGTGAATATCTGGTCTATACAACCACGTCCAGGTCGAAAACCAGCCTGATTTTCTCTAGTCTGCTCTTCACGAGCTTTGGTTAGGCGTCGAAGTATTATTGAAGCGAATATTTTAGACACTATATTAGTCAAACTGATTCCTCTGTGATTGTCACAAGAGGACCTCTGTCCTTACTTATAGACTGGCACAATCAGTGATTGAGTCCAGTCAAATGGGATTACGTCCAGTTCTCAAATTCTACCTAAGAACTCAGTCAATTTCACTGCTAATACTGGACCACCATCTTTAAAAGTCTCAGGAGTAAACCTGTCAGATTTCCGATAGCTTTTTCAACTTCATAAAGAGTCGGAGAACCTACATTAACTTGCCATTCAGGTTGACTACCGATCGTGGGAAACCGAAGTTTGGCTGAAGGCCAGTTGAACTGATCAATAAAGTGTTCTGCCTATCGATCCAGTCTCCTGGATTGAAAATGTATGATATGTCCATCTTTCTCTGAGATTGTTTCGCTAACAGTCGGTTTCCTAATACCGGTTTCCTTAACGAGTCTGAACAATTGTCTGCTATTACCTATTGCCGCTGCCTTTTCCATTTCTCTGGCTTTCGCTACCCACCACTGTTCGCGATCATTGCGTAGGCTTCTTGTCAGCTTACGCTTAAGCTAACTCCGCTCTTCGTTATGTTCAGAGCCAGATAGAATGAGTTTTCGAGCACCTATCAGTGCGGTAGATGCTGCTGAGATCCAGTGTTGCTTCCTAACCTTATGGTTTACTGTACTAGCAGATATCACTGCTGTTTCCACAGCTTTTCGGATATCATCCCACGCTGCCTCGGGTTGGGCATCATATACATGACTGCCTAACTGTTTTCCTAGTTGTTCCTGAAATATACTCTTAGATTGACTCTCATTAAGTAGGGCCCTAAGAGGTTTCCATGTAGCGTCTTTTCTACGTCCAGTAAGACGCAGACAAATACGAGCTCACACTAGAGCATGAGTCTCCTGGGAGAATCAAATTATGTGGTTCGTAATGCGTTAAAGATTATAATGACTAATATCTCTAAAGAAAAAAGTGCAAGTGTGGAAAATTAAACCTACTGGTTAGGTCTCACAAAATATAACTATAGGCTTAAAAAACGGGAATTCAGGTAGGTTATTTGACGTCTGATTATACTCATAGAAGTTATCGAATGGTCGAGTAAAGCCAAATTAATAATAGATAGGCGGTAACCCATAACTTCACGTTAGTGTGCACTAGCTCAAGTAATATTCCATACCAATAAAGTAAAGGGAAAGATGGATTTTTACCGTAGTGGTTGTCAAGTTTAAATTATTTAACCCTTTTTTACTTCTACATATATAAATGCTATCAATAAATGGAGGGTTTTGCTAAACTTCAAGGTAACTTTTTAGAAATTATAATGGGATTCACTTTTAGTTTTGATACCGAAAGAAAAGCCAAAAGCTTTCTAGGTTTGTTACTCGTTCCGATAAATTAGTACTCCAACGAGCAAGGAAGTCCTCGATAGCTTATTTTTAAAAATGATATTACCCCGCTGACATTTGCTATGATTTGACTGTTTACGCTCAATTTTAGTTTGTTATTTCTGCTACATCCTACGTTAATGGTTTTTTCTGCATAAGGAGTTGTTGTATCAATAGTCTGAGGAATTGTTATTATTGTTAAAGAGCTTCAAAACTCAACTGTCGAGACCTCTGGCATACGGGCCTGCTCTTCAAATAACGAGATATCTTCCTGCTGTTCTCAACTTAGCATAATTGTAAACTATCTCGAAATAGAACAGATACTTTGAAAGACTAGAAAATAAGTCACGGAAAAAATCAAACACCACAAATATGAGGAGCTAAAGGTTAAGCTTACTTATTGATGAGATGAGAAAGTAAATCTAGCCCATGCTCAGCTAAGCGCCTCTGTTGAATAACTGAAGTTGAAGAACAAGTAGGATTTCCAGGTGTACTGGCGGGTATTGTTTCTTCTGTTTGGGCCTTACTAGTCGTTTGTACGTAAGTTGCAGAATCATTATCTGAAGTAGAACCATTCTCAATCGTACCATGAATGCAGTTAGCCGTACACTTTTGTCCAGAGTTTGAAAGAAAATTTGACTGTGCTAATGAACTCGGATCAAGAGCTAGCATAGCAGCTTCCACTAAGCTAGAAGCTAAAGGGCCTGGAAATGTTATACGCGAACGCATAAGATAATGACCAAGCTTGATGCGCATATTGGGGCTAAGAGGACGACGAGGCTCATTGCGTCCCTAAAATTAGAATGAACAGAGACATGTTAAGTTACTAACAAAGAGATTTAAAACATAAAACAAAACGAAAATAATTGGTTCACGAAAAGATCATGGTATGTGCCAAGTCTCTAAATAAAATCGAAGAAGAAAGAATAATTCTAAAATTGTTTGGAATACAAGGTTTTCTAGCAGAAGATCACACACTAACTACAGTCAAAAATTGTTAAACTTGAGTAAAACTGGTATGGTTTAACTCCACGAAGATGAGCATTGATGGGGTATGAGTCAGTCAGTGAGTTACAACGTAGGACCAGGCAAATATATGCATCGGTCCAAGTTGCCATACCTCATTAACACAACAAGATCAACAACAAATTCATAGAAGTAGTTACTTAAATGATATCAATATATAAAAGAAAGATTGTGTATGAGGATATATTACAGCAAGAAAAATATGAAGCAATTTTAATCTCAAAGTTTAAGGGAAGACAAAAAGTGTATACACCTATACCACTGTGATCAATTCTGAGTCATGTCACCAAGAGTCTCCAACCATTGGTTACGATAGTCACGCGGACTCCAACCAAGTAATCTGCATCTACCAACATGGCTCAGACTAGAAGTTAGTGACTTCAAGCATTGATGCCACGTTTTGGTTTGGTCGCCCCTAACTTTCTTCCAACTATCTCCAACACTAGTCAGCATTGCGCGTCTTGGTAATCGGTGTTCAGGCATACGCAACACGTGACCCAATCATCTCAGTCGATAAAAATTCACAATTCTATCAACTGATTTACCATCACTTCGATATCCATTTTATATGAGGTTAAATCACATTATTTTCTATTTGACCGCTAGTTTTCTATTTCCTATAACTAATATAGAATTAATTTGGAACAAAATAATTGGTTACTCTCTTTTAGCCCGACCCCCTGAGTCGTTTAGTTGCTGTCAACTTTGCCGGTCTAATATATCCATCTGATCACATCCCTACGAGGTATCTTATACTGCAGGCATTGGGCGACAAGTACGTTGCTTTTTTTGAATTTTTATGGTTCATTTGATTATATCCGTCCAGTTTTATTCAGCTGTTTGGTTTTATATAACCTTTTTTTAATTTAAGGGCATTAAGTTTGTAGGTTGTTTTAAATTAACATTTTCGTTAGTCGTCTTCCTCTTAATTAAGCTGTTCTTTTTCCGCAACTTGTATTGTGGGCCTTTTTAGTATAACCACAAGGCCTCCTTTGAGCCAAGCTTAATTGGACTTTTGCCTGTTAAGCGAGGAATTATCTCGAGCACTATATCTGATAAACTTTAGCAGCCTTTATATGGCAGAATAGACTATAGTTCGACAATCGAAAAGAATTTGCAATAATCATGCATGATTTCTGTCACTATAACCTTATCTCACTGAGCCATGGAATAGCAAAATACAATCCTGACCTTTGACTGCAGAGAACTTTTTAAGAAAGATATCACTGCATATACAATTTTAACTAAAATAAAATCATAAGATAGAAAGTGATTAAATGGTTCTTGCTGATTGTTTTAACAAAGCTATGTATTATTCAATAAAGTTGTTCCGTCTAGAGATCAGGATGTAAATAATTATAAAGTAGATAGTTTACTTCTATGACCAATGTCCTGAAACGTTGAGTTCCACTTTGGTTGCTTACTATCTGATTTAAATAGGCTTTAAATTTTTTTGGTTAGTTCTCTGACTCAAGAAAAAAGGACTTTTTCACAGAGGATAGATCTATGTATAGCAGTTTTTCATTAGTATTTAAAAAGTATCTTGTGTCCTTATCCTTAAAATATGTTTTCGATCTTTATATTAACAGTACATTTCTTCAATAGAATACTTAAAATCTCTGCTTGAATAGATTGTTTTCAAACACTTATATGGGTGAATATAAATTCCTTTACTATTCCTAAAGAAACTCTTTGTTTATATTTTTTATTTTTATTTCAGGGATCCTCGCGTAAGAGCTGAAGCATGCGTGGCTTTCGAACAGTTTCTTGACCCTAATATTATTCATGACATCGTCTATGGGCGCGTTAAACTACCATCTTTCGTTGAATTTGTTAATCATGTGAGTCGTATACAAAATAACATACATATATGAGTTATTTAGGAAACATTTTAACATCAGAACGCTGTTACTTGGACCGATGCACATATGTGTCTGGTCCTATGTTGTAGCTGACTGACTGACTGACTTGAGAACAATTCATTGTTAAGAAGTATTTGGTTGACGTTATTTTTCGATGCATAACTTTCTACCACATGAAGCACAGTTCCACCGAGCCTAGAAGTAGGAATCGACAATCAACTCGTGTTATAAAGGCTTTTTAGCTGACTATTTAGTTCTATACCACGGTTTTCTTCCTTTTTGAAGTGACTGGTTGGGGAATTTTGGTGAACGTTTCTCATAAATTGTGAGATTCTGTTTAATGTGTTCAACCCTTAAATACAACTTATGAGTAAAGAATTTGGCGTCTATTAAAGTCGATTTCCATTAGTTTATACTATTCAGTGTGAACTCAGCTCATAAACTTTCAGTACATTTTTACTACTATTTCCAATCAGTAATAAATTCTCAGTTTACAAATTCTAATAATTATGGTCGATATATAATTGATTAACTTAAATGTATTTTTGATTAATATACTGGGGTCATCGTCAAAAAGCCTCAACTATTGAACTAGTCTCTTTACTTTAGCTAACGGAATAATTAAAAAGAGAATAGAAGCAGTTGTGTTCATTGTACGACAATCAGTATTGCAAAACATTATTATAACGCACGAACATATCACATTCATCATAGTTGGTTTGAACTGTGAAAGCGTCACTCTTATAATGACAATAAAATTCTAATTCGCTTATCACAACTCGAAAGGGTGTTTAATTTGTTTCTCAAAATAGTACCCTAGTTTACACTTTCTGATATACTGGGTTCTGACGAGAAGAAACTATGTCGTATGCTTTATAACTGATAATTATAAGCTATTAATATATTCCTTCTCCGTAATTATACTGTCGATATCCCACGAACTGTATCTCCGAATGAAATCACGAGACTTATATGCTGTGATGACATCTTATTTGATGTAACTAATTTTACAGCGTTTTCCTTACAACAGTTTATGTATAAAACTGTATATATAAAGAGAGCTGTTTTATTCTATTTTAATGAACAACTTACTTTGGGATCGAAATCTCGACGACGACCAAGATACCAAGCTAGAAGTCGATTTAACAATGATTCATCCTCCCAATCTACAAGACTAATTCAAAATACAAATAGTAGTAATAAAAACCATGAAAATTCGAAAATTTAGGTTGTTGGATCAATGAATTTATGTATGAGATTTACAAATTTACCGGTTTTCTACTGACGAAAGCAATAAGAAAGTTAGTGATTATGATTGGAATGTGGAATTCAGGGTGAATAAAATCGGCATCCATTGAAAATGAATTGTCGTTACGAAAATTTACTCAATGTAAATTCTGTTCATAGAGTTTCAATGCATTTTTCATTATGATTTGTGTTAACTGAGAGTTTTTGTGTTCCACAACTACGATCACTGTAACCAATATAAGACTTATTATCCTAAATGTATTCTGAATTCTTGGTCTTAATAAGAAATGCTTCTATACAACAAGTGAACTTCTCACTCTGGTTAGCCAAGGAAAGGTAAGTCGAGGATGTCACAGTCTCGTTCATCGTATTGAAGTTGGAGTTGCGGTACATCAGTTTTGACTAGAAACTACGCTGAAATTGCTCCCGCCAGTCATAATCAATACAAGATCTGGTGTAAACAAGTGTCATCTGTAGTTACCGATAAATTTTTGTGGATACCGTCTAATCAGACATACATGAAGTTGTATGGTCAATGAGTTACAACATAGGACCAGGCACACATATGCATCGGTCCAAGTTGCCATACCTCATTAACACAACAAATTCATAGAAGTAGTTACTTCAATGATATCAATATATAAAAGATATGAAGCAATTTTAATCTCAAAGTTTAAGGGAAGACAAAGAGTGTATACACCTATACCACTATGATCGATTCTGAGTCACGTCACCAAGAGTCTCCAACCATTGGTTACGATAGTCACGTGGACACCAACCAAGTAATCTGCATCTACCAACATGGCTCAGACTAGAAGTTAGTGACTTCAAGCATTGATGCCACGTTTTGGTTTGGTCGCCCCTAACTTTCTTCCAACTATCTCCAACACTAGTCAGCATTGCGCGTCTTGGTAATCGGTGTTCAGGCATACGCAACACGTGACTCAACCATCTCAGTCGATGAAGATTCACAACCTCGTCAACTGATTTACCATCATTCTCTAATACCCTGCGTCTAACCTCACTATTACTTACCCGGTGATCCCAGCAGATGCTGACAATATTCCTAAGACATCTGTGATCAAATAATAGTAACTTACGAGTATCCTCTACTCCTAATGACCATGTTTCGCAGACGTAAATCAAAACAGAACGAACTTCTGCGCAGTACATTCGTCCTTTTATTGATAGACAGATATCTCGCCCTCACCATTGGTTACATAAGTTGGCAAAAGCCAAACGAATGTTTAGAATCCGTGCAGAGATTTTCTCAAACACCAACACATTTGGGCTGATCTGACTTCCAAGATAAGTGAAGTTCTTGACGCGTCTTACCTGAAGAGGAAATTGGGTTATAGCTGGTCTTAGTGACCTAAGAGCCTAACCGCAGTGCCTAAGGGATAACTGCTTGACGCTGGTGACACACGACCTTGTGCGTAATTTTTGTGTTAGCTCCATACTTGTTGAAACCCTACCGCCGGAGACGGATATCTATGAGATAACGCAGTGTGTATCTATAGGGTCGACCTTTTTAAAACCCGTCCTTCCTATGCTGGTTGTCTGGGGGACACCTTACTGCTATTACACTTTTGTGCAGTCAGCAGTACGACTTCACCCTCGGACCGTGCTTTTTAGTCTTACCACTCTTCAACCGACCTGCATGGCAAGGTAGGACCTTGAGGAATGATTGTTTCAGCCAGTGTAGCCTGATTTGTTCTCCATGATAGGTAAACCCAACCATCACGTCATAGTAGCAGCAGCGATTGTGATAATTAAATTTCTACGTAAACATTTTTGTTCATATGTACAAACTAAATTCAAACCGGACATCTCGTCTCTAGTCAAAAAGATAATCTCATTATCCTCGTACTCAAAATAAGTTTAACATATACACACGGGACTCATTTGAACTAGATCACATTTTCACTTGTGCTATATGACATCCAGTCACATTTTTTGCACACATGTCATCTAACCCTGTGGCAGTCTTTTAGTGCCTAGTCTTTGGTCTTAAAATAAATATAAAACAAATCCGCGCATATATTTGTCGCTATGAAACTTGGAATGGCGAGATCACAACAAAAAATGAGTTGTGAATATCACAAGGATGATTATACGTATAATAATTAATAAATAAGCAGCACTAAATTTGCCTTTTGTACCCTATTAAATTACGTTACTGATTTCTTTAGAGGCAAAAAGCTAGGATTGTGAAGTAGTAACACCAAAATCACTTACATGCTTAGTGTCCGAAGTTCCTTTGCTGCAATAGAGACTACTGAATGGCGACTGTCTCCATAACCAAAAAGAACTGGTATTATACTTTCTTCCGCGGGGAAAAAGCGGCGTGTGTAAAATGTCATGATACCCACTTTGTACTAGAAATTTGAAGAAACATTTATATTAACATGCCGGGGATCTACATAACAAAGGAGCGTAAAGTAGAATATTTACCAAAAAGCTGTCATAAAATCCCTGCAAGTGTTTATGTATCTAAAGGGAAAACTTAATTTAGAGAGATTTATTGCTTAGCGAGTTTGTTCAAGTTGTGTCAAGGGTTATAAAAAATTGATCATCTTGTTACCTGGTACTAAGAAATGTTTATCATGTGTCTTTTCCGCTTTTCTCGTGCAACCGCTTGTCATTTTACTTCCAGGTTTCTGTTATATTGCTTACAAATATTGCTGCTGTGATTCAAAATGTAAAAGGAGATCGTTATACACAAAGCATCTAGTGTCAACTAAGTTGAATATCAAATGTATCATCAGAGGTACAAGTAAGTTTGATTCAGTCAGTCAGTCATACGCAACGTAGAACCAAATACATATGTACATCGGTTTAAGTTGCCACACATTATTACAGCGGAAAGTTGAAACTGTCAGGACAAATTCCAGAGTGGTTGATTCAGTTACAGTATTAGTGGTAATAAGAAAAACTATACATTGAAAATAGGATTCCAAAAAATATGTACTAGTGGGAGATAAAAATTCGTGGTGATTTGAAAGCATTGGATCTAAGAGAAGAAAAGGTAGTGAATGGACCTATACGATTGCGAATGATTCTGAGTCATGTCTGTTTGATTAGCCCTATCTGATCCAGTGCCGAGAAAATCAGAACACTGAATTTACCTAAACCGGAGCAGAAAAGATTTGCGTTTTTAAAAGTTTACCAATCACTAATTTGACATAATCAGGCATTTAATTCACTTAGAATTATATTAATCATCGTGGTCTATGTACTTTTATCAAGTCGAAGTTTAGCAGCCAACGCCCAACTGATGACTTTTATCTGGGATTTTAACGACTTTGATGAAATTGGCATAAACGATTAGCTGATGAGATTGAGGCAGGCGGAAAATATAGGAGCATTCTCAAGGCAATAAACACAACCTTCTGGAAACGTATTAAATTAATTATTCAGCTTTTTAATATCCAGCGAGATAATTCAAACCTTACACTAAATATTAAGTCAATAAGTTCGAGAAGGTAACATTCTGAAGTGCACGATTCCCAGGTTATTTATTTGCGCACGTAAAATCCAGTACAATGTGGAACCAAGAAACATAGTCAAAGCATTGATAACATGATAAGAAAAAGAATATACATTTGAAGAGAGTGAAGAAAACACAAATAAATGAAATAATTAACAAGGACAATGTACAATAGAAATTTTGTTGGTAATATAAACAAGATAATTCAGAATCCTTTTAGTTTAGGTTCTCATATTTATAAAGAATTACCGTAGGATCGCCACCGATTCCTGTCATGACCCATATCTGACAACGTTTTAAACCACAGAGCTGGCCCATCTTTTGGAACCCAAATAGCGAGTTGTGATAAGCCAGTTCTATACAACTCTTTTCATACCATAGCACTATGTGATAAATTGACCGCCTCTCATATTGTCCCAACCAGTCACGTCGTCAAATAATGCACGATGTGGAAGCATATGGGATGGCTTAAATAAAACATGTTCAAGATGCCGAAGTTGATGTTTTAGGATGGTGATACCGGCTGAACTATTCTCACCATCCAAAAACACATTACAAAACCTCAATATTACTAATACGATATTGCCACTGAATGTCAACAATCCTTTGGAGACAACTACTTTCGAACACAGAAAGAGTCATCTAGCATCTCAAACACGGAAAGACCAAGTTTCTCAGACATAGAGTAAAACTACTTCTATCAAAGCTTTGTAAACCCGACCTCTTAAAACTAAACTAGCATTACGATTATTCCAAAAATGATCCAGAATGACGTAAGCCACCCTGGCTATCATCGTACGTAGATTTTTTATCACCACTCACAACACTAGCGCCTACACATCTAAATGCTCGAACTTTTCGATTATTTCGAGTGATCACATGTTCCTGTAGCCCTTGCATTAGTGCTTCGCACTTAGGAGATGCAAAGCACATACCATGACTACGGACACTAATTAAATAGTTTGCACAGCATAAGCATAATGGAATTAAGATAATATCATAGACACATTCATGAGTTTTCCTCTAGGCACCAGGACTAAAGCATCACCACTTAATTTCTCCGGAGCTGTTCCCAGGATGTTATCCATTACAAAATTGAACATGAATGATGAGATTAGGCAACCCTTTTAAACCCTACTGCTCGAATGAACCATTGAGATAAGGGGGTTGTACACCGTCACTCTGCTCGGAGTTTATGTACGGAGCATTCAAGACGTTAATTAACTAATTAGGCATAACGTTCTTTAACAGACAATCCAAGATGAAAGTTCCACCCAATAAGCGAAAGGGGCACTAATGTCGAGGAACACGATTGTTGGCCTGAAATTTGTGGCAGTGTTCTAATGTTAGATAGGGGCTAAAAATGCGATCAACGCATCCACGACCGAAACGAGGACCACTAAACCCCTCATGAGTAAATTCACAGTTTTTGATTAACCTATGAAATATGGGAAAAGCCAATATGTTAAAAGCAATGGAAAGTATACTTATCCCTTGAGTTATTACACATGTGACCTAGGCTCTTTTTAAAAATATTGGAGACGATCGCCTCATTTCAAGATATTAGAACACAATCCAATCAGTTCCTTGATCGAAATATCGCAAGAGGATTTAGTGTAACACCAACCTGATCTGTTTTAACGGTTATATGGTTTAAAACTGATATGTACAATAGTGCGTAGCCAAAAATTCTGTTTTAGCCCTCCTAAAACTGCGAACCTGGTCAAGATCATGTAACGTTGGTATTAATGGTCACATTTGATACGGTTGATAGATAAATGTCCCGTTCTGACTAACCTGATAAACTCGTTGGAAAACGCTTCGATTTCATTTATTCCTTGATAACAAACTTTTCGAGTAAAATCCCATCTATCCATTCGGATACAGTGTCTTAATTACGGTTATTTATCTACCGAAAATCCCTGGGATTGTTTATTTTGGTATATCTGCGTACCAGTGGGGTATTTAAATAGTCACTAACTACTTCCATATTAAAAACTGGTGTCTTTCACTAGACAACTTTTACAAACTTGACGTCAGTAATATTATGATTAGCCTCAAATATGACAACTGTATTCCAATATATTAAGTGATTTAAATACCTTCTGATAAGCTACTCGTTGTTCAGCGACAAAACTACATAGCGTTGAGACGGATAACCATTAAATCCAAATACCTATCAGTTAAATGTGTTCTTGAACAAAATCAAAAGTGGCCGATTTATGCATACATTTCCAACCTGTGTCAGCAGGTCAGCGACGCACAAAATCTCAAGTATGGATAAATATTGACAATGTGTAGATAAACTATTGAACTGGAAGTTTCAATATGGTGGAAAGAGACTGAAAATACATACGTTAGTTTTAGTCTGTATGTGTGGGATTTGAGAGTTTACGGTAAAGGTCATACCTTTTCCAGTTCCTCAGCGGATGTTATGCAGGTAAATTGTTCGTGTAACATCCTACCTAAATCGAAGGAGTTGTACCCGTCTGGTATAGTTGGATCACTTCTATCTGATCTGACTAATTTCTGAAAACTTTAAAACCGGTTAGAATAAATTCGTAAACAAACTTATAAGGTAGAAGCATCACTAAGGAGAAAAAGTCTGTAATGTAACGTCTTTGATATATGAGTTCATTGAAACATGGGTCACGCGGAGCCAATTCATTGGTGAGACTATCGACAACAGGTAGTACTAAATGAAGTAAACTAGCGGAATCTAAAATTTATTGACGTTAACATACCCGTCTCTTTGACAAATAGGTTTATCATCAGAAAGTGATGCGAATAATACTGGAAATAGTTTTATTTTCTGTCGTAGAGGTAGACGCGGAAATCCTAGTCTTATGTACATATGCGAGAAATTAACCAAAAACACAGAGTTTGACGGATCATTGTAACTTAACAATAATTCGTGCACAGGAACCTGAATATTAGGTCTGCATCTGAGTCTCCGAGTCACATCTCCGAGAAGTTCCATGAGCTAAGAAAAGTAAACGTAAATTATTTCTATCACTTTTTTCCGATGATCTTCATACTTGGACAAATACTTCAGGATAAAAACCAAAGATTTTTGAAGGATTTTTTCAAACTGTTCATCAATGTCAGCAAGACTTATTCGTAAAGCCAACCGGTCAATATCATCCCCTGGATTTCGAAAATCCATATATAGCATACCTCAATAGTACCTGGTTTTGACATCCCATCCCTCGTTGCAGCCATGACGTGAGGTTTAGTAGCTAGCGCCGACCTTGATGTGGTTGTTTTAGGCTCCATAATGCCGATATTTCAAGGTTAAAATAACCAAACTATTATAGCACGAGTATTCCTTAGAATTTATTTCTGCATAGCGGGAGAGCTTTCTTGGTTACTAAAAGTTATATTTTTGATCTACTTTTCTCTGAATTTCAGTGACTATTACAGTGTTCAGAAAGGAACAGTGGTCAAGGAGTAACACAGAGTATAATCTCCCTTAGTAACTACCGTACTAAAGAAAGCGTCCGATCTTCTTTCGAAAAATTCACAACTTTTATGCTTCAATTTAAGAAGTTTCTTATTTATTCTTACACACCCCATCCGGGTTCTGCTCTACATTAATAAATGCTCAGGTGTGTTGGAGCATTGCAATATACTGATGATCCATTGCTATGGTAAACATTGCGTGCGATGTTATGCAGAGCGATTTAAGCCCTCCTATCTTTCTGTACCACACAGGTTGATGGTTCGAGAACATGAAGTAATTGAGCAATAAACCCACCCAAAATTCTGTATTTCATATTTGTGATGAAAGCTTTTGAAAAACTATCATTTGTCTAGGACGTTATTATATACAACACTTCACTCAGAACAAGTAGACTTGTTAGGTTTTATCGTTGGCGAGTAATACAGAGGTTTTCTAAAGAAAATATTCCTTGGTTTCTGGATCAGAAGTATTGAGTGTAGACCTTGCACTTTCTGAATTACAACTTATTACTCTTATTTCATTGAGAATTTTACAGCACCAAAATAAGCTACTGAAAATAGGTCTCTTTGTAAATTAAATGATCAGAAATGTGGTGTTTGTATGGACTAATGATTCCTTTGTACTTAATGACTGCTTGATTTCGAATTCCAAATACAATACGTTCGTTCGTGCTTGTCCAGTATTTCCTGATTAAATTGAATTATTTCTGAGATTCCTAGTTTGTACTATAATTCAGAAACTCATAATCATCGCATTGATGTTGCGACGGAGCATGTCACAGAACAATTGGACATACTTTCAGATTTTGATACTTTTGACGATTAGAATGAAAGATTCGAAATCTGGGCTTTGACCAGGGAACATGTTGAAGATGTAGATATTGTGGCTCACTTCCTTGCATTCATTGAAAAAGAAGCTTACAGCTTATCAAAAACTTTGGCATTCCCAGAAAAGCCGATCTCACTTCCTTATGCAGCTCTCAAGGTACTACAACTAGTCCATGTAAATTGCACAAATTTAGAATGCATTAAACGAGAAAAATTTCATAAAATGATTCGTCAGGACATCAGGAATTCCACTAGTCCACTACTTTGTACCAGTCTAGCACGTAATCAAGGTTATTCAGATAATAATCCATAGAGTTGTGGATCAGGTCACGAAGGTGAGCACAGGTTCGGTAAATGCTTCTTCTGTGGCACGTCTCACCCATATAATTCATGTGTACTTTAAAATTCTAAATGCTATAAATGTGGTGCGACTAGACAACTTCAGTCAGTTTGTAATACAACGGTTCATCTGGCTGCAACTAGTGCTAAAATGTGCAATTGTGATCCTTTTAAATTCGGTGTTTCTAATGACCATTAATCTTTATACACGACTTCAAAAGCGACACAGAGTCACAGATCAGTCGAGAGTTAAATGAAACTCAGAATCCTTGTCAGACAAAAGTTTCTAATCAATCACCTTCTGATCAGATTTCGCATGTTAGTGTACGGGATATGGTTTTTCTCAGTAATTCACATGTTTCGGATAAAATTTTCTATAAACCTGAGAAACATATGTTGAACGAAGCAAATCATGATCGAAAATTCGATGTAGTTGTAGTGTGGCGTCGAGTCACGGTTGACTATGATCACCACTACAAGAAGACTACTTGCCAGTTAACCGATAGGATTCCCGTAAGCCAAATATCAGAAGGCAGTTGATGGCTATAGTCGTGGTATCGAAAGAATACCGAGATCGTGCCAGGTCAGAATCAACGGAAGAAAGTATGTGTTTTGATACAGTTAAACAAGCAAGTACGGTAAAACAATCCCTGGTACAATTGGTTATTATATTAATTGTTTCTATAACACCAATCGCGTTCTCTTGATAAAAGTAGGTCACTACACAATCTTGACCGATACTTACTTTTCTAATGATCTTTTTAAATGAAATTCTTAGTAAATTCGATCAATATTTTTCAAAAGAATCAAATCCTGATGTCATATCAAATTTTATGTTCCACAATGGATTATTCTCCAGTTCGTACTATAATCCAAACACTCCTAATTGTCACAGTTATTCACGTGAAAGTTGACAACAGGTTGCCTCCGCACAATTCACCTTAAAGTAACAATGAAGTTCAGTTGCGGAAGTCAGTGCATTTGTAGTGGCATTGGACCATAAACACACAATCTTCAAAGCTGAACACGAGAGTAGTCGAAAAATATATATTCAATATTTAACACGGAGAAAAATCCAAAAACGAATAGGGCGGGAAGAATGAAATGAAATAATTCGAATTGATCGGATGGCGTGGCTCGTCCTTGCAGACGTGGTCTTATGTAACATTTTTTGGCCATATTAAATATATTGTTCCATCTCTATTCTAAGTATGTTCTTCTCCATATATTGAGGATCGTTACAACACAATGAATCAGGGTGGAAAATGATGTGACTTCTACATAAGATCTCATAGATTAGGCAATTACGTCATAAATCTACAATTTCAGAATTAGGTCTAATATTAGAGCAGTACTAATATTATAGTAGACCGTAATTCTACACATTCATACCGAACGTATCATACTACTTTTTCGTACTTTTGCTTTATTTAATTCAGTATATTGATGTAGTTGTTAAAAAGGGATTGTAGCCCTTCGTTACATGGGTCACACATACTTCTACTCCTTTTATCTTTGAATTCCAAATATACTTGCATAGTCACCATCACAAGCTATATTCTAACCGTGTTTTCTTGGTCTTCACTATGAAATCGAATAGTGAGGGAGTTTAAATGATGAAAAAGATTAAGGATGATGATGCAAAGGTTAGACTTGATAATTTCAAAAAAATTAAGTATGTGTCTGAAGCATAATTTCTAATAACTGGTAATTTCGTTGTCAACTATACCGCAGCTGGTTCGAATTCCAAAAACACTACCTTCGAATGTACTAAAGGATTTCTATGTGACTTGGATACTGACCCATACGTGAATACTACAGTACTAATAATGCGATTCCGGGCATTACTTATACGCACGTAGATTTCCGCTACTTCTGCTTATCACACTGCTTTTGCGATGTAGTCAAATATTGGAAATCTGGACACTGATCCATTTAGAGCTGTCATTGCGGACTAAATATAACATAATAGATGTCTGCACGGACGGTTCAAGACCCAGTTTATGACTCGAAAAGATATTTGGGATAATAGAGTAGCTAAAAATTTCCTTGTATTTTTAAGAGGATCAGTATAACCTACCGAAATGTCTGGCTTTGCACGAGGACCAGTTTAACCATCATATGAATATATCAAGGAATTATTATTTACTCATCGACGGTGTGCCAGCGTTGAGTGAAAAGGCGGATCAAAATTTCATAAAATGGTGCAAAATAATGTCAAGAAAGTTAGAGACTTCATTCTTGAACTGCAGAAAAAATCTTCGTAGTGCAAATTCAGAGACCAACCGGAAATCCAACTTCGTGACTTGTTTTCTTCTAGGATAAATAATCCGAATTCGGAGAAATCATTAAACAACCAGGTTTCGCTACGGTTAGGATAAATAGTTAGGCTATTTAAAGTAGCCTTAATAACATATTTAGCTCTTCGAGCAGCGTCCAGGATTGAGATAGTAGAAAAGATAAAACAAATAACCAAAACCATTAGTTTTGACGTCCACTGACGGAGCTATGAAACCTCCTATACTCTGAATCAATATCTTATTTTACCCACTGTAAATAGTTAAGTTTTGTTTCTTCTTTAATTAACATGAAAGTGAAATTTACATTAGGCCTTTTTTACCAAAATATAGACCAGAGCATTAATACATCTTCCACTAGTAATACGTTTAAATCCATTATTTGTTCTGTAGACGTTTACTGAACGTCAATTATAAATTATTAAGAATGACATTAAATATTGTCATCATCATCAACAGAAGACCTGACAAAACTAACTACATCATATTGGTCCTGAGAAACTACTGACAAAAGAACAAGGTTTTTAGTAACCAGAGAAAAACTGCAATATTCCTAATATTTTCTCCTCCATATCATTATTAGAAAGAGCTTGAGTTACGTTTTCGTTGATAGTCGGAATGGATTTTGTAGTTATATACACATCAAATGATGATCGCCTCGATATATAGGTCGTGTCTATCATATGAGAATTATGTTCGTTCGATAAGCTGGTGATTGTCTGGACTCAGTAGCTCATGAATAACACGTGGAGTGTTTAAAGCAAAGGGTATTGTGTTTGAGTCTCAATGTATTATATCAACGCCAGAATGCAGGGATATTGAGCTAAGGAACCCCAAATGAGTGAAAATGAGCTTTCTGCGTCCCACTGATAACCACGATCAATTCTCACTAACTTTTCCCCCATTTATATTCGTCTGTAGATTTATTATATAAGATGGTGGGGAAGTTTTCCACATTCCATCAACAATAATTTGTTGTCAGAGAAGGGTGTTTGTGGATATTATAGTAATTTTAATGGTTGAGATTATGAGTGAATTGAAGCTAGACCACCATGGAAAACCTTAGTAAACCAGGTAATCCTCAATGTTAGTTTTTATAGCAGGCATTGTAATATTTGAAGTATAACTGCAATATTAACACCGTCTTCACATGCTTTTTAAGTACACAATTCTGGTCATTTCAACGCGATTCGTCCCATTTCGTGGGCAAGCCTTGCTCTAATTTATGACTAAACATTAACGATTTCACATTTGCGTTCGATATTACGGATGGATCAACATTGTTTCTGAACAGAATAAGGGACTAAGCGAACCCTGACTTAGAGACCAACAATCTGGCCTCCGCAAGA